CTTGTTTGATTATATTCGTTTTTTCATGTCTCGATGTTGATTTTTGGTATTTATCAGGTTGTTCCCTGATAAATATTTTATTTTCGTCTGTAAAGTTTGCTCTTTTTTGATTAAATATAGATGATTTTCCCATTAAAAAATGAAAGAGAGAGGGTCAAAGTTGCTATTTGTCACTTTTCCACAAGAATATAATGGGGAAAAAGTTATCATATAGTTGATCTCATTCACTGAGGTGAGAGATGCATGTAGTGTAATGTGATAAACAGTGGGATTGCTGCTCTAAGTCCTAGGTTCGAGACACATTGGCTTCATTTTTATCTTTTTTATTGACGTAAACTATTCAATTTTTGTGTTCTCCATTCAAATTTCAGAATTTTTTTTGCAGATTTCACGCTACATTCGAAGTTACCTTTTGTAACAACCACCACTGCCTACGAAAGACGAAAGTGTGTCACGATTTCACCCGGAAATCCGACGGTTGTTTAAGAGTAAGCACTTTTGGCACCTACTCAAAAATGAAATGATGCAAAATTTACGAAAACCGTTCGAAAATTGAATCAAAAATGAAAAGTAATACTTAAATGAGTAATTCTTTGAGATATTGGTCTTAGATTGAATGTAGCGTCATTCTTATATAGAATATATATTCATATCATCGGAAATATGATAAAAAGCATATAATAAATGTCAAAAAAGTGAACAACTAAGCAAAGATATTTTTTAAAAAACAATGAAAAGTAATACTTAAATGAGGAATTCTTTGAGATATTGGTCTTAGATTGAATGTAGCGTCACAAATTTCACAAATATAATTTACTATACAATTTTATTCATTTTTTTAAAATGGCTGACGACAGTCTGTATCAACTAACTCAACTAGTCAAGCATAATGATTATTCTTCGGATTCATTAAATCAACTTTATCAATGCATAAGTACAATGACAGAAAGATCAATTGGATGCTTGAATTGGGATAAATTTTTCAAAAAAATCACAGTGACTGATGAAGTTCTTTTACATTTTTTAGCATCCGTTTTAAACATTGAAAAGATATCAGAATGTTTCAAGGATTCTATTTTTTATCACAATATTAATCTTGAAAAATTCAGTAATTTAACTGAAACAGAACAACAAACAATTTTAAATTCCTACAAAGCGGATAAATTTACATATTACATAATGTGCTCACAAATTGTAAAATCAAACTGGAACAATTTATCCCAAACTTTAGTTAATATTGCAAATCAATATTTGCCATTTTTAGATGAAGAAAAGCAAATATATATATTTACTGAAATAACTGGCAATTATCAAAATTTTGAAATTTCAGTTGCAAACTTGTTACTTTTTTATGAAAACAATGAAGAAAAATTAAGCAACTGTTTTAATTTAACATTGTTCCAGCAAATTTATTCCAAAAATGGAATCGAGCAAATGATATTTTTTGCTGCAAATACAATTTGTTGCAATAACACTTCTATCAATTTTTACAATCTCCTTGAAATTGAAGAAATGAATCCATTTGATTTTTTTTATTTCTCAATTCAATATAAAGAGATATTAAATTGCGATGATTTTCAAAAAGTTACAGAAGTAATCACAGGTTTAATCTCAGCTTCAAATATTAATGCTATTATGCGAATTTGCCAAAAAATTTTGGATAAAATTACATTTTATAAATGTAATTATTGCCATATTACCTCAATATGGAATTTTATCACAAATGCAGCAATAATTCTTCCTGATGAAGATTTATTAATCAAATTATTAAAATTCATAGAAAAAACAGAAAAAGCAACAGATGAATTATTCGAACCGGAGAATGATTTGGGTTTCTATGAATATTTAAATTCGATTTTCTCAGATATTACATCTGCGAGAAATAAGCAATTTCTCTTGGAATTTCTAAATACCCATGAAGATGACTTCACTTATGATCAAACATTGTGAGGTCATTTTTGATCAACAAATTAATTGAAATTCCGATCAAAAAAAATTTCACAAATTGGATCAAAAAAATCGAATCTCAAGTTAAAAATAAAAAATTTCTACATTTTTATCAAATTTAGATTTTTTTTTCAAATCATGCGAATTGATTGAATAATTGCATATTTTATCCCATGCATCTAGAAGTATGTGTAATATTTTTGCTTTCATCAAGAAATTGTCGAATTTGATCTTAATTTTTTTTGAAAAATATACTTTTAGAAAAAGAAATAGTGATTGAATAGCTGCCCATGCTGTAAAAGGGTTATTTTTACAAGTAAAAAAATTGTTATTTTTCGAGCAAGTCGAGGCTTTTTTACCATCTTATTTTTGAAAAATTTACGAAAAATTATATCTGAAAAAACGCTTCATTTTGATATCTTACAATGATAAAATACCAATGTTGCTGGGATATAATAGCTACACCTGGACATCTACTACATTAATGCGTATGACAGGTAAAGTTGATTTCAAAAGTATAGCCTGGAAAGATTACAATAAATCAACGATAATTCAAAAAAATTTCTTATAAGTTAACATAATAAAATTTTAATTTTTATATTGCTTGTATTATACTTAAGTATATAATATATTTAAATCTTAGAATGAAAATTCGGGACGCCCTAGCTATTCAATTTTCCCTTAGGACGCCCATAAACCTCTCAAAAATGTGATGTAAATATCACAATTTTGAGAAATTTACACTAGGACGCCTTAGGACGCCAACCCCTTTTTTACCCGGAAATTAAATTTCCAAATTTTTTGTCGATTTCGGAAATAACAGGATCCCGCATCCAACACACAACAACAAAACACAAAACACACTTTTTGGTTCTTTCATCGTTTTAATCGTAATTTATGTAATACATGATTTGGATAAATTTTACAAAAATAGAACCTATATTATATTCTTTTCAAAGATTCTTGCAAATCATCAAAAATAATTGTATTTTAAAAAACGATCAAATTATCCTTTCATTATTTTAAACTTAAATTAGTTTTTATGATTGACTAAAGCAATCATATTTATTCATCATTAAATAAACAAAAAAATAATATTTGAGAGTTATTTCAAAAAAAAACACATTGAATTTATTAATTTGTCTCAATTTCAGTATTATAAATTTTTATAATTTCAATATTTTGAAATACACTTTTTAATATTTCAATATTTATGATATTTCAATGTATTAAGTGGTCTCAAATTGAGCTTCTCAAATATAAGTTGGCCTATTCAAATAATAAAATTAAATAATATTTAAAATAATAAATAAAAGTGATTGAGGTCATAGCAAAACGGCTGTTTGGAGGCAGTTAGGAGCTAGCGGTTGAAGCGATAACATTCACAGCCAACATCTACGGTCAAGCGGCAGCATTCAAGGGCAACATCTACGATCAAGCAGCAGCAAGGAGCTACGGCAGCAACGAACTACGGCAGCAAGGGGCTACGGCAGGTCAAGCGGCATCATTCAAGGCCAACATCTACAATCAAGCTGCAGCAAGGAACTACGGCAGGTCAAGCGGCATCATTCAAAGCCAACATCTACAATCAAGCAGCATCAAGGGGCTACAGTAGGTCAAGCTGCAGCATGGAGCTACAGCATCAAGGAGCTACGGCAGGTCAAGCAGCATCAAGGAGCTACGGGTGGTCAAAGTTAGTAAAACTATCTTGGGTACGGCGGCACTGCGTTCCACCTTACCCAAGATAACGGTTTGACACTTTACGAAACCGCTAACGTATATTTTACAACACGAACGCAAAAACGAACTTAACCTTAAATATTTACAAAGCCGCCAACCATTTCACCTCACTAACGAACTCACTAATGAAAAAATAAACGTTCTCATAAATTTTCTTCAATATCTTCATCGTCAATGTTAACTCTATTGTAGTCATACTTGAAGTCATAAAGTTTCTCAAGTTTTGAAATGCATAGTCTTGTTAACTTACCTTCATCATCATAAGTTTTTATAAAACTACCATGACAATCTTTATAAACAGTCAGTGTATAGTCAACTGGTCTAGGATGAAGTGTAAAGAACATGTTATACTCAGGAAGGAAGAATAAATGTTTAAATGTATGTTTGTTATATGTTTTGATTTGTATGAGTTGCTTTTGTTCTGTCATTTATATAAAAATAAAATAAAAAATAAACTTAAAAATTAATGATATCACCACCCTCACACGTATGAAAACATAGCACAAAAATAAATTTAGGTGAAGTGGTGAGATCTCACCTCTTTTTTCACCCTGTTGAATTCATTGCTTTATAACTCTCTTCCTTGGTTTCTTTTTAGTTGCTTTCTTCACGTCTGTCTCCAACTTGACTGTCTTTCTTCTTCGGCCGTAATGATACCAGTTACTTCCACCAGTCAATGGGTCAAATGGTCTTTCGTAAGGGTTTCCATACATTCCATAGGGACCATACGGAAGAACTACTAGTGGAGAAGAAACATTTTCTTTAGTTCCATCGAATCTATTTAAATGCATTGTTTCACCTTTCATCTGGTCATTAAAGTCTTTTGCGTGTTTTGCAAACTCATCGTCCTTTCCTAAAGCATTTTCTGACTCAGTCGCAACCAAATTGGATGCTTTATTTATGAGCCCTATTTTATTTAATCTTAACTTCTTTGCAACCCAGCCTCCAATCTTCCCTTTATTTGCATCTAATGTCTTCGAAACCCTTCCTCCACTCATTTTATTTACTGCGTCATAAGCTCCAAGTGCTTTTGCTCCAAATGCTAATGCTTTTGTTCCCATTGCGCCTATAGCTGCCCAAGCTACCATTTACACCATATTAAAATCATCTCTCTTCAATATTATCTCATAAAAGTTCTCGTTACTGGAGAAAGTCAATGAAACATAAGCGTTCTCACGGGCTTCGCCCTCACCGCTTTGCGGTCTATCTAACTTATTTCTTATATCATCTATACGCTTCAAAATGTCTGAACAATTGCTAACATCTTCTACAACAGTTATTTCATCATGAATGACCTTCAAGAACAAGCTCATTTAATATGCTATTAAAATCATCTCAATAATGAGTCCATCCTTTCCATCTTTAGGTAGCACAACATCTTTCATTGAAGAAGGTTCGACAAGTCTTATGTTAAACTTACTGACAAAGTTTGTTATACTATAATGCTTCGGCGGCGAATACATGTAGTTTGAAAGACATAATATAGATTCTTCAGCAAATTCACTTATACTGGATTTTATAACAATGTTCTCACGAGACCAAATACCACCAATTGACAATCTTGTAAGCAATCCTGCTGAACCTTCTACTGTAAACGTCGATGGTAACATTCCACGAAGGTCATCTATTGAAATCTTTGAGTCACTGAATTTAAATATTTTCTTAAAGCAATCGTCATTATCTAACCATGCAATAGCTTTGAAGTTTTCATTCGAATATACATCTGCTTCATTAAATGTAAAACCTGACTTCTTTGCAGAGACGACTTTAAAATCTATTGAGTTTGTTTCAAAATTATATGCTATGGTAACTTCTGAAGGTAATGGATGTCCTTCCACAGTCAGTTGTTCTCTCACTACCGTTTGAAGCTTTGTATTAAAAACTTTCATGTCATCTCCTGTATCTAAGTTCACATACACAGCAACAGGAAAACTATCTTGCTTCTTTGTTTCATCATTATACCTCAAAACATTAAAGTTCTTCAATAATATTGTTCTTCCTGCTGGAATACTTCGACGAACCTGTCTGATTTCAATAGCTTTCTCACCTCCTACATACTCTACCCAGTGTCTTGGATATTCATAAGTATACTGACTTTCTTGAATTTTGGTTGGTTTCATCATAACGTGTTCATAGTATATCTTTATACTCTTGTCAGTTAGACTCGGTGCTATGTTCTGAATATTTCTGACTTGCATTTTTAATGGAGATAAAATGAAGCATTTAATACATGATGTAGATGAAGACATGAATGAAACTACAGACAAACTTAACTCTTCTCTTATTCTTCCTTTCAGCAAAGATTATGAATTCTGTTCAAATGGTGTGTATTTCTATTGTGGAAAGATGGATTCAGGTAAGACATTTAACCTCATTCGTCATATACTCATAACAGAGCGTTTAGGAAACGACTCTTACTATGACCAAATCATTATATCAGCAACTTCAGACTCTATGGATTCAACAGCGAAAACATTTATGTCAAAAGTTCAAGCCTCTGTCGTTAAAGTTCCAGACAGTGAACTCATTGAATTTCTTCAACGTTACATTCGACGTAAGAGAAAATATTATGCCATCGTAGAGTTCATACAGTCAGGAATGCAAAAGACTTCTGAGGAGATGGAAAGAATTATTGACAAACACCACTTACGTCAATACTCAGGAGTTTACGATATGAAACGACTTACAAACTACATTCTGTCAAAACTTTCAAAATACCCTTCAAAAATATCCATCAAACACTTTATTAGTTTGTGACGACTTCGCTGGTAAAGGTTTAGTGTCAAAACCAGACTCACCATTAGCTAACATCATTACTAAAGTCAGACATTACCATTTAACTGTAGCAATACTTATGCAAACATGGAGGTTTTTAGCTTTAAACATAAAACGTCTCATAACTGACTTCGTTATCTTTCACGGTTTCTCACGTTATGATATTGAACTCATTTGGAAACAGTCAGGTATAACATTACCTTTTGAAGAAATTTGGGAAGCATATAAGTCTCTCATCTCTCCTCGTTCATACCTTGAGATTCATATCATGACTAATACCATTAAAGTCAAAAATATTCCATGGGAACGACCAACATTGTTTTAAAGTTTAACCTTCAATTGACTGATGGTAAACAAATTCCATGCATCTCTGTCGCCATTTCTGTTAATATTTTTGCTGTCATTCATATCATCCACTTCCCCATCCGTTAGCTTTTGAGGATATGCGTTAGAATAGCTGTTCTTAAATGAAGCTTTTCACCTTTGAGAGCATAAACTCTATAACTTTCTGCATACTTTATGTTTGAACCTCCCGAGCCATCATTGACATAAATTTTTATAGGCTTCCACCCTTTGTTCATGTTCCTGCTTCTTCCCTTAGCTCTTTTGTTCAGTAGTTCTACATCTTTATACACAGCACCTGTCTCAGTGAATTCAACAATATTTTCATTCGTTAGCTTTACATTCAAACCCTTGTCGAGTATATTGTTCATTTCATACATATAAAAGGTTTTTATTCTATATGAAATGAGAAGCAAATCCATCTTAGCTGGTGCCGTTAATGTTCCAATTGAACCAACATCAAATGTTGACTCACGAACGACAAACAATATTGTCATAAAGAACTATAGTTCAGAGTGTTTGAAAGAAAAAGAACCAGAACTTAAGTCGGTGAATTTAAACTCAGCTTCAAACGCTAACGCTACATCAGATGTTAAGTTAGAGTATCCACCACTGGACCAAATTCTTTCAAGAGAAGCCAACGACAATCCTTACACAAATGTTCAAACAAATCCTTCAGATAACGTAGACCATTACCTTCTTCAGTTATACCAAACAATTTTACTCAAAGACGATAAGAAGCTTTTGACAAATCTTATAAGCAAGAACCAAATAATTCTAACAAAGGAGGACCTTGAAAATGTTATCTCACGAATAACAGGGAAACAATGTGTCATTGACTATCTCGACCCTGAAATCGAATGCTGTGGTCAAACTCCACTATTCATGAAAATAGGTAACATCCGCATCATTGAAACACCAGGAACTACAGGAGTTGAGTTTAAGTATAAATATTCGAACGAGTATACAAAACTATCTACTGACTATAAGCTTTGTTTGAAATATGTTTTAGTAAATTAAAGCAGTCAGGACCTTCGGTCTTGGCGCTTTGCGCCGTCAGTCAAAAAATTTCAAGTTAGCAATTTGTAATATCTATCCAAAACTTCTTCAACAGTATCGAACTCATCTTCATAATGCAAACCTAATCTTATTGACTTGGTGCAGTTTTCACTAACACAATATTTTTCTGTTCTCTTGACTGACATAACTAATTCATTTGTTTCATCAAACAGCAACAACCAAAGTTCATGACCTAATACATAACATTCATACTTTATATTTTTAGCTCTGAGTTCTCTTGTAAGCTGTTGCATTTAATATTTTCTAAAAAGTCAACTTCAACAGTCATTCGCACTGGTGCCTTCAGTTCTACAGGCTCTCCTTGAAAGTCAACAAGTCTGAATTGCATGTCTTTCAAATTATGAGGACTAATGCGAACCCATTTACCTAAATGAGTTGCTATGACAGGAACGTTTGGAATGAACATTGAATTGACTGCATAACAGAAGGATTTATATTCTACTGAACCTTTACTATTAACTCCTGAAATGCCTGTGACATTAGCTATTTTAGACTCAATGTATAAACAATTACCATAACATTACGTTTGGAACAGATTTCATCTCAATCGTTTTGTCAACACTTTTCAAGGAAATGTCATATGGTATGCACCCAAAAGAAGTTGTACTCTATGACTCATTCTTGGTATCTTAAACTCTTTCTCGCTGCTGAACTTCAATGTTTCCTCAGAAGAGAGTTCGACATCTATGTTGTCAATAGTTTCTTCATTTATGAGAGTATCTATGACTCCAGCAATTTTATCTATTCTATACCCAGCTCTGTTAGGAAATGTTATAACACTTCTTTTGTCATCTATTTCAATCTCTATGAAATCTGTTTCATCTGTTATGACAAAAATTGCGATAGTATTGAAGTCAACAACTCTGAAAGCAAGCGCTTCATTCTGAAGACCTAAGTTTGTTTGTAGCTTTACTGTCCGTATTCGTTTGGGTCTGTACTTTGCAAATAGAACAACATTTTATTCTCATTAAAATATGACTATTGCTGCATATGCGTATGAAACAAATGAAGCAAGAAGAGCACTTGAACTAGTAAACGAAAACTCAACTTTAACCATTGAAGGCAATGATTTAGTCATTGACGATGGAAAAACTAAAAAGTCATTGATTTCGATACTTTTAACACTTATGACCCATTCATTACAATAAGTAAAGTTCCTATCATAAATGATGGAACGGTGCAATATATAATTCTACAGTAGATGCCTCATTAGTGAAAGTATTAAATGTTCTCATTGAATTGTTAAAGAACTTTCGATTTGACGACAACATTAAATGCCTAAAGAATTTAGTCATGAATGAGAAACAAATTCTCGGCGTTGCTGGTAGCAGTAATGATGTACACCTTATGACATTAGAATATTATAACGAACATAAAGATGAACTGAAAGGAGAGAAGGGTGACACCGGACCTCAAGGACCACAAGGAGTACAAGGAATACAAGGACTCAAGGCGAAAACGGTTTGGATGGTGAAGATGGAAAGGATGGAAAAACTGCTAAATCATGGATATGGAACCTTATAAATACTGGTTTAACAGCTGCTTTCATATGGAGTTCTTCAATACCAAATCGGAAAGATATGGGCAGTACTTGGTGAAGAAGTTTTAGATGACGTTAAAAATGCTTTGAACTTCATTTCAAATGGTTCGGATACTATTAAAACTTTATCTGGTTGGATGCAAGAAACAAGGAGTCAAATAGATACTGTAAGACGTATAGCAAACAATGCACGTACGGGATTGGATACTTTACGAGAAGCACAAAATACACTAAAGGAAGCAAATGATATTCTTGGCTCAGTATCAGACATGCATGAAGATTGGCTTAAAGGTATTGACAAATCTTTAAAAAATCACAGTCAGTCTATTGCTGACTACAAGAAAAGTATAGATTTTTTACATAGTGCTATGGACGTACATGATGGAAACATAAGGAACTTACTTAATGCTAACAATAACTTACCAGGAACTATTAAAGCATTTATAAGTCTTTGTAAAACCTGGTGCTCTAACATTTAGGTCTTTGAGAGCAAGAGCATTGAAGTCAAGAGATGCAGAAACTCCAACAGAACTACAGAAGGAACTGAACAACAGAAACTCCAGAAAACACCAAAACCAACAGCTAATGAAATATTGTTCGAATATTTTCCAAGGTACTCTGTTCTCATTGCATACATTCAAGAAATACTTAAGAAAGCAGACTTGACTTTAGGAGATGATGAAAGTTCTGTATATCTTTCGTTCCAGTTTCAAATAGCAGAACTTTTGAGACAAATATGCTTAATGTATGACAACATCTCTGATTTCACAAGATATGATGACGACCATGACCCCGAACACAGTGAAGAAGAAGTTTTACAAACATCCATTAAGACAGGAAAGGTTTTTAACTCAAAGTCTCATTATTGACACCAAAGATGGCGAAGTGGACGTTCTTCAAGAGCTGAAGAAAAATACTTCTTCGGGAGGTGGTGGTAGGCATGAACTTGAAATAAATGAGATAGAAGAGAAATTAGCCGAAAAAGCAGATAAAAACCATGTTCATTATATAAGTTCAGACGAACAGATTATAACGGACTACCATGGATATTTAACACAGGATGAACAAATAAGCACTGAAGATGTTAATGAAAGAAGATATAAATTCATTCGTGCTAAAGGTTATGACATACACTGTACTGTACAGTATGACACAGGTAAAGCACCAGAAGCATTTGGTTATAACAATGAAATTTATGCTTCATACTTCTTTGTTAACGGTGTATTAGTTGAACCAAGATTTACATTGAGAGTTAAGACAAAAATAACTTTTGAAGATGCTATTAAAAGTAAAGCTGACAAAGATGAACTTGACGCAACGAACAAAGTTTTGAAATCTCATAAACACAATATCTCCGATATAAATGAACTTCAAGCTACATTAAATAGTAAAGCTGACAAGAACCATACACATGAATCCTTCACTACTGTTAGAGCAGACGAAATAATATTGAACTATACCCTTGGTTCAAGTGCACCTTTAGAGAATCCAAGTACAAGTGTAAAAGATACACTAAACTCCTTAAATAGTAAATGTATGAACATTGAAGGTCATGTCAGAAACTTTGAAACATATAAACTACCAGCAATGTTAGATAAAAAAGCAGATAAAGAACATACACATAACTCCTTCTCAACTGTTGCTATAGAAAGTATTGAATGAACGGTTGGCAGAACTGGTGGGGATGCATTATATTATAAACCTCCTAACTTTCCACAAGGTTTAACATCGAATGAAAACATAACAACGAAGAAAGAAATTAGCTGTAAAAATGTTTATGTCATGGATGATGAAAATAATGTTAAATTCACTGCTCAAGATTTATATGATAAGAAAGCAGACAAAACAGAGCTTCAAACATTAAAGACTGAAATACTTCAAACATTATATCCTATAGGCTCTATTTATACATCAATGAACTCAACAAATCCAGCAAGTGTTTTAGGTTTTGGTACGTGGAAGCAGATTGTAGATAAATTCTTATACTGTGCTAGATATTCAAAGCAAACAGGAGGTTCGAAGAAAATTAAAGAAGCAAACCTTCCACCGCACACTCATACAGGAACTACAAACTTTTCTGGCGACCATAGCCACTCATTAAGAGACCACCCATTATACAACTCAGACTATGAAGCTGGCAATGACGTTTTATCTCCATCTTATAACAATTCAGCAAAAAAGACTTTTCGACCAACTGAACCAGGAGGAAATCATTCACACACTTTCACAACAAATCCAACAGGCTCGGGTGCAGATTATATGCCACCATTTGTGACTATATTCGCATGGTACCGCGTTCAATGAACGCGCTTGAACCTTGAATAAAATCTTTAACTTTACATAAATGAGCTTGAAAGAAGTATTCGAACAACATCCATGGAGGTCATTTAAGAAGTTCAATGAAGCTGCAAAGAGTTGGGATTTACTAACAGAGCTGAAGTGAAAAGGTTCTTTGACAAAAATGTTGTACATCAAACAAAAATAAACCCTTACGACTACTTTTTACCAATTTACTCCAACGCTCCTGACGCATACCAATTTGACACTCTCATTCAAAGCAGAAAAGGAGGACATAACCATTCCTCATCTTCATTAATGTTAACACTCGTAAGCATATGCATATCCAATGAAAAATAAAGGAACTCGTGAAGTGTTAAGAGTTTTACAAAAGTTTGTAGCAGAACATAGCCCAAGTACTTTAACATCAGACCAAGACAGTGCATACCTCAGCAATGAATCACAGATTTTCTCATTAGCATAACATAACTCACTACACTACTGAAGACCATAACCATAACATACTCGGCATCATAAACCGCTTCATAAGAACGCTCAGAGATTTAAACCAAGAGCGAGACTTTACCGAAGAAACAATGAAACATTTTCTCGAAGTATATAATTCCTCAACACATTCTACAACAGGACATACACCAAATTCAATGACACAACAACAAGAAGAAAAGTATATACAAAAGAAACGAAGCCAAACACAAAATATCAGAAATTCAACACAATTTACCCTCATTCCTGGTACAAAAGTTCGTGTAGTTCTTGACGACAAACCGTTGACAAAGAAACGTTTAAGGTTAAGTAGAAACTATTATATCGTAGACTCTACGCAAGGTAATGGATATCTTATAAAAGCTGCCGACGACTCTATTGCGTTTTACCCTCGACATAAATTAGTTGAAAGTAGTAATGGCAAACTTGCTGAAACCATTGACGAAGCAAAGCGAGGAGTGGTTATTGAAATACTTGGCTATAACATAAACGATGACACTTATAAAGTAAGATATGAAGGAGGCGTTGAAGATGTTATACCATCTAAGAACTTGAGAGAGTCAAAGCCAACACATCTGGGACCATTAGAGCGGGAGTACTGGAAAGATAAAAATAAGCCAGAAAGAATAAGAAAATTCTTCTAAACTTTTTCATTAGATGTAAATCAGACATGAATGAGAACAGTCATGATATCATTAATGGTACCATTTATTTTTGTCATAAATGTTTTCAGTGTCACCATGTCACCAGGTTATTTAACTTCTCTTAAAAATGATGACAACATGACATTTTGACAACAGTCATGATATCATTAATGGTACCATTTATTTACACCAAAAAATATAATTTAGGTGAAGAGGTGAGATTTCACCTCTTTTTTCACCTGTTTTTTCACCCTCATGAATTTTCATGAATTTTATATATTAATGTTTTCGTTAAGCCACTTTGTGCCGTCAGTCAGTCAGGACCTTCGGTCTTGGCGCTTTGCGCCGTCAGTTTAGGAAAGACTTTAGAAAGTTGTTGGAAAATAAGTCTGGGAAGAGTTTATAAGGCATTTTGTGAAGAATATAGCAACCGCCGGAATTCGGACTGTTGCTTTTTATACAAAATTCATGCAGGAAATTCTTGAGTTTTGGATGAAAGAATACGGTCGAGCCAAAAGTGGCTCAACCTCAAAACAAGCATTTTATGAGCTTACTAAGGGTGTTATAAATGAATTCAAAGGTATTTACATACATCCTGACCTCGTTCATTTTGTTGCTGAATTCAGCAAAAATAATGTTTAGGTGAAGAGGTGAGATCTCACCCGTTTTTTCACCCTCGCCGCTTAGCGGCTCAGACCCTTTGGGTCTCGTGAATTTTCATGAATTTCCTTAAGATAGAAAAAATAAAGTTAGTTTTATTTTTATTTATTTTTTTATTTTGTATAAAAGATATGATTTCAACAATCGGCACAACAACAATTCAAACAACTACAGCACCAAACTCGCTAGTCATGAATCCTACGTCAATGTTGGTAGAGATGAAAAGCTTTATTCCTTCTTCATATACTTTTGAAACAGAAATCCAGAAGATAAAGCAAGAACTTTTAACAAGTAATTAGACTGTAGTGCGAAAGATGAAACAAATGAACAGTTTTTATGAAATGGAGGACCTCATCGACCATTTGCCTAAACTACCTGAAATTCAGCAGCAAAAACTAACTATTCCTGAATTTCGACGAAATTGAAGTCAAAGCAACTGACTCAGTAGAAATTAAGAAATTCATACGTAAAGTAAATTATGAATTCCTTGGTTTTCATTGCAACCATAAAGTTATGGACAAAGATTGCGACATGGTTTATAAAAATATTTCTGACCTTTACAAATCCGAAGAATTTAAGACATACGATAACTTTGTTTCATTAGTTGCAAAATGTGTATGGCAGATAGAGATAAAGATAGAAGAGGTAAAGTATGGAATGAACAGATAAAACCAGCAGCTTTTGAGTTAAAGAAAACATTGACGCCTTAGTTGTTCTAGCTGGTTTTATTTCAATGTATAACGCAAAAATGAATCCGCAATGTTCAAAATGTAAAGCAGCAATAAGAAAATATAACTACTCAGTCAAAGAGATAGAAAGAATGCGAAACGACTATGCAGACTTAAAGAAAGAAGCAGAAAAGCCAGCAGAAGATAAAATGGATATGTTGACATTTCTTAATAAAAACTATCCAACAGCAGAAGATTTCCTTCTGTCTGACGTCAAGAAGAAATATAAAGAGACTTTCGGCATGATTAAAACATTCGATGTACTAAAAGAAGAAATAGAAGCTACGAAATTGTTTAGGATTTCAAATATACATCGTACAATTCATGTAAAACGTGTGAAAAGACGTGTGAAAAAACAGGTGAATCTCACCTCTTCACCTATAAATTCACCTATAAATTATTTTTGGTCAAAGCTTCCACGAGAGAAAAGATTCCTCATCGCTAAGGATTCCAAAAATGAAAAAATCATTGATTTCGGCTGAGAAAAAACAGCAAAACCTTCTTCCACGGGAACAAAGAAATAAAGAAGAAATAAAGTAAATTTTTTATTTATTCCTGTGGAAGATAGAGCACTTTTATGACACTTTTTATTCACGACAAACAAGAAACAAACAAGAAAATAAGAAAATACGGCGCTGTCGCGGTTCGACAAACAGACCCTGACCCCTCCATAACACCACCTTAGACACTGTGCTACGTAGCCTGTCGACATAAGATTTTATAAATTGCATATTTGACGTAAATTTATCTCCATCTGGCTTCCCACCGCATAAGATATTCATACGTGTTTGTAAGACATTCATTAAACTTCTTTTTCTATTGCATCTAATCTTGCGTTATTTTTTTCAATAACTTGTCTGTATTCTTCATCATCTCCAGCAGTGTTTGGGTCTTCACGTTTAAAATATTCATTGTTAACCAATTTTTATCTACAAATTTTATTAGTGTTTGATTCACTTCGTTATGATAACGGTCATATTCTTTCAATACGTAAGTGAAGACAAAATGCGTCGTACCTTCAATCTTAAAGCTTAAAGAACTTTCAACACAGTTTTGAGGGTCTTCAGTGCGTCAATGAGATAGTATTCGAAGTCAGTCAATAATCTTTTTAAAGTCATTTCATACAGGATAAAATTTAATGTTGTGAAGAAATAGTGTTTATCTCAGAAAAATAACGCTAATTTTTATTTTTTATTATTTTTTTTATTTTGTATGTAAAGACAGTAATGTCAACATTAGAGAACACAACAACAGTTATAGTCCATGAAGCCATAAATGAAGAATACGAGTACATACAGTATAACAAACAGTTACGTCTCATTCGTTCAGTCAAAGATGACATGTACCAAATGCAAAGTATAATGAATGCTCTTCGTTCTACAAAGCAAGCATATCATTGGTTTGAAAACCAAACAGACAAAAGAACTTTTAGAAGAATTTCCTCATATGAATTGCTTCCCTCGGAAACCGGGGGAAGAGATTCCGTATGAAAATCGCAAGAATTTGGCTCCTGGTTTGAAAGATTATTATGTTCATAGACTTTTAGTAAATGCTGTAGCAATGTGGGCTTCACCTCGTTATGCTTGTTATATTTTCATGATGTTAGATGAACTATATAAAGCAGAACGTGGAGAGATGGAAAAGAAACTTCATGCAAAAGATGAAGTCATTGAATCCAAAGACAAAAGCATACAGAAAAGAATACCGCGTTCAGTACCAAAAGGAAAGGAAAAGAGTTATAGGTATATGATTTATACTGAAGAGTTGGAAAATGAAGAAGATAAAGATATGGTTATGTTACATTTAGTCAGAAGAAACAACAAGAGCTTTTATGACTTAGCTAAGATATATAAATCTGACAGAAACTGGTTCTATCGTGAAAACTTACCGATTTCAATGACACCGAATGAGCAAATAAAGGAAATTGTCAAAAATACTCTTCCTCAAACACACTATGACATCAAAGGTTGCACAATACTTACATTCAAAGAAGACTTAACATTACTGAAGGAAAAAATAACAGAATATTTCGACAACTTCAAAGAGGAAGAATGAAAAAAAATCTCGTCGGGTGCCACGTTAGGACCATAGTGGAGAAAACCATGGTAAAAACAAAACCCTTCGTCAAGTTTATTTTGTTTTTACCATTTAATTGTTTCCATAAACGCTCCATGTCGAACATAATTGACGAAGAGAGAATCGTCTGATCGTCAAGTTTATTTTGTTTTTACCATTTAATTGTTGTAAAATACCATATGAAGACTAACCAAAAATAAATTTTCTTATAAAGCTTCAGGGTCTATTTCTTCAACCATTTCACTTCCTTCGTCAATGTCAATAGAAGCTTCTTCAACCTTTGGTAAGAATTTCTGTATAACATCTTTGTTCGTTATTGTCTTCAGAGATGAAGGATAATATTTCACATCTGTTTCACCCTTCTTATATTCTTTCTGTTCGGAAAGATTTAAAGCAATACTGAAGAAGTCAACGTTAGAGTTCTTTATGACAGTATAATGAGTATCTTTGACATTCACGAAGAAACTCTTTTGTTTCAAAACTACTGCTAACTCTTGTGAAGTATAACGTTTGCGGTCAATGACGATAGCTAATGGTCTGACATACTGACCAAACTTAGATTCTTTCACAAACTTCTTGTTAAAGATAACATTAACATTTGAAGCATTATTGAACTCATTCTTGATGGCAGTAGCGAGAGCATTGTATGAAAAGAACTTGCAATCTTGCATGTGTTTCATTAAAATAAAAATATTAAATTATTTTGAAAAATAACTTAAAAAAATCTAATCTAATTTTTTCAAAAAATATTTTTTATTTCCTACTAAAGATGTATCGGAAGTTGTCTAAGTTAGAACACTCGGAAATAAAACAACTTCTAACAGAAGCTAACATAGATGTTGCAAAACATTACGCAACAAACAAAAAGCACTCGCTGACTTCATTAAAGACTATAATGGTGCAATAAGTTATGATAGAATTCATGAGTTCATAAAGCCGCAACGCGGCGAGGACGAAGTCCATACAAGAGCATTTCCTTTAAATGACGTTGCTATTGACTTATATCATAGACGTTCAGTACCTCATGAAGTAAGAAGAGAAATGTTTGACATAACAAATGCAAACGTTGGTGAAACAAGAAGAAGAGACGACACACTGAAACAACAGAGAAGAGAGATGTTTAAGAGCGCTATAGAACAAGTTCGCAAAGCTAACGATGTCATTCGTTCCATTGACGACAAACCAAAAGAAGGTGAGAGATGGTTAAAGAAAGATGAAGAGAATAGGAAGAGAAATGTGAAGTCAGGCAATAGACTCATTGACTTTAACATCGAAGCTTTAGATGAACCAAACAGAGACTACTTACACAAACATTTCGGTAAGGTTTTCATGAGACTCTTAGAGAAATTAAAATAAACTCAACAGAGATGGATGGTATGTTATAAACTTGGTGGAAAGTATGAATGTTCTACGTTAAACCTCAATAATATTGGAACATTACTACATCAGCTCTTGAAGGAGAACTTTATATCAGAGATAGAAGCAAATGCTGCAGGTATTGTTGAAATGCACTATGACTTCTTCTTGACAAACATAAAGAATCTTACTGAAATAAAGATGTATGATTTAACAGAATATGAAGGCTTAACGATGTCAGATGTAAAGAAAGGCAAACCAAAAAAGAGACCATATAGAGATGAAAGCACACTGACAATGACCAGAAAGCCATTTTGGAAGCTCTTAAGCAAACAGGAAACCCAGCACTTATAGAAAGCTTTTGGAAAGATAATGGTGAAAGAAGTTTTATAAGAAGAGAAGCGGTCAGTTCTGGAAGTATCTTTGCACATTACCTATAAATCTTGAACGCTACCAAATCTTCAATGAACTGAACAAAAGAACTGCAACACTTATGACAGAAGAAACTGCTTCGTTTATGCTTGCATTCAGGCTGGAGTAAATGAAGAAACTATTGACCACATGAGAGAAGTCATTCGTGTTAGAGACTTTCTCAAAGTAAAGTACAAGAAATTTCTGACGCAACAGGTATAGCATTTAATGTTACTATTGGTTATTTCAATGACTCAAGACATAATGAAATAAAGAGATACATACCAAAAGAATGTGAAACTGTTAGAACTATTGACTTACTTCTTGTTGAAGACCACTACATGCTAAACGAAAGATTACCAATGACAACATATTTCGTCAGAAATTACAAAGAAATTCTCAAAGCTTGTGGTGGAATGAACATTGAGAAACAAATGAAGATTTATACAAAGAGAGAAGATAAATATGTAGTTCGTTATGATAGAACAACACCGTTATGGGATGTTATGAAAACATTGTGGGAGTGCAAATATTTCGAACCTATTTCTTATGGAGAACTTTTCACATATACTACTGACTTATATAAACAGAACCTTGCACCATTTAAAGACTTGTCATATGCTCCAAAGTATTGTGTACAACTGAAGAAGAAAGCCGAGTCAAAAGAAGTAAATAAAAATAAGTGCAAGTTCATTCCTGAGCACGTTTTCTTTGCTGACTTTGAATGTAGCAATGATGGAGTTCATAAAGCTTTTAACATCTGTTATGACAGTGAAGATGGTTCAGTGAGTGAAAGCATTTGGGGTCAGAACTGTGCAACAGAATTTTTGGAACGACTTCCTGACAAGAGTTTAATATATTTCCATAACCTCAGTTATGATATAAACTTCATCTTAAGACACATGACAGAAGTGAAAGGAACTCCCATCATTAAAGGTTCACGAACAATGCAAATAACGGGAATATATAAAGGTAAAGCAATCATTATTAAAGATTCATACACTGTTATAAATAAGAAGCTTAAACTATTTCCTGAAATGTTTCATTTGCAGTGTGGTGAAAAGGAAGTATTTCCGTATCAATATTATTCAAGCTCTTTATTAGCAAATGACAACAGAACTGGTGTCATTTCTGAAGCGTGTAAGTTTATCCAGGATGCGGATACGTTCATGAAAAACATAGATTCCATCAAAGGTTGCAGAATAGATGAAAACCACTTCGACTTAGAAAAGTATAGCACATTTTATTGCAAACAATATGTAAGAATTTTAAGAGAAGGTTTTGTTAAGTTCCGCAATGACATATTAAAAGAATTTGATTTAAACGTTTATGACTACGTTAGTATTTGTTCAATTGCTAACAAATTATTTGAGAACAGAGTGTACTTCCCGAATGGAAATTTATATGACCTCTCAAATAAACCAAGAGAATTTATTTCACGCTGTATTCAAGGTGGAAGATGTATGCTGTCAGATAACATGAAACAAAAGAGTAAAGAGAAACTCATTGCTGATTTCGACGCTGTTTCATTATATCCATCAGCTATAGCAAGACTCTATACTTTAGAAAGTATACCGAAAGTATTGAAGAAAGAAATGTTAAGCACAGAGTATCTCATGAGACATTTATTCGATGATGACCAAAAGGAACCCATTGGTGAAAAGTTTATGTCTGGCTTCTTTGTTCTCATTAAGATAACAGAGATTGGAATACATAGACACTTTCCTTTAATAGTTTGTGACCCTGAACTAAATCCAGAACTTAACGTTCCCAGAAGTTCAAACACTTGCTGTTTAATGTATGTTGACCATATAACATTACAAGACCTCATAAAATATCAAGGTGTCAAATGTGAAGTGTTGCAAGGATACTATTACGATGGAAACAGAGATATTAGAATAAGAGATGAAGTAAAGAAGTTGTTTGAGTTAAGGTTAAAGTATAAGAAAGAAGGAAATCCTTTGCAAGAAAATATAAAGCTCATTCTGAACAGTATTTATGGCAAAACTATTCTATCTCCTATTGAGTCAAAAATAACCATAGTAAATGACAAAGATGCTATAAGATATGCCATCAGAAACTACAACCATATAGTGAAGTTCGAAGGTTTGGATGGTTCAGATAAAACTATTTTCAAGCTAACGAAAAGCATTTGCAGACACTTTAACTTCTGTCCACTTGGTGTTAACATTCTGTCTATGTCGAAGAGAATAATGTGTGAAGTATTCTGTACTGCAGAAGATATGGGACTTCAAATATTTTACCAGGACTGTGATAGCATGCATATTTTCAATGAAGACATACCAAAGCTTGCAGCAGAGTTTAAGAAGAGATACGGTAGAGAACTTATTGGTAAAAATTAGGTTCCATTCTGACTTCGCAGAAATAACACCTGGAAAACAAAGTTTAGCATACAAGTCAATATTTTGTGGAAAGAAGACCTACATAGACTTACTCACGAATGATTTAAATGAAGTTGCATTCCATGCACGTTGTAAAGGTGTAAAACAAGACGTTCTTGCTTTAACAGCTAATGAAATGTTTCCTGAAGCTATACAATGCTATTACAATGAAGATAAGAACATTCACATACTGTTGGAACATATGACAAAGACTCTGAGTTCAGTTTAATGAAACTTTACAAAGCACTTCATGATGGTCAAGAGATTGCATTCGACTTATGTAAGTCTTCTAGTCCTTGCTTTGCTGAAAAGTTTAACTTCTCAATAACGACTAAAACAAGCTTTATTCGTAAGTTGAAGTTCTGAGGTCATTTATTTTTGTCAGCAATGAGGTCATTCGTGATAAAAATAAGCCGCTAGCGGCAAGGGCGAAGCCCATGAGGTCATTTACAATATTGCGATGGTAGAGTTTAAGAGTTGTGCTTCAATGTAGAGACAGTCCTTATGGTCTGGAGGTAAGAAACTGGCAGTTATGGTCATGAGTGGAGAACATGTCTATCCAAAACTCACGATTGAAGCCAGTTAATTTATAGTATTTAGGGTTAGGAAGTGGTGAAGTTCTTGTATGACCAATGAACTCATTTTCAACTCCCTTACTTAAGTTTGAATATAATATAGCTTGCTTTCTATCCCAAATACCTGGAAATCTAATTTCCGAAAATTCATTTTTCCTCGGAAGCATTGCATCATAATTGAAAACATTCTTGAAATCATCACTTGGTTCAGAGATTTGAAATCTTATACGTAATGGATTTTTTTCTCTTTAGCGACTTCATTGAATGGTGAGAATACAATGAATTGACAGTCATGAGTTCCATCTTCATTTGGTACAAACTCGTAATGAAAAGCTATTAATCTTTCTGCAATTCCTTCTTCTTTCAGTTGTGCAAGAAACTCACGTAAAGGCTGTAAAGTTTGTACTTCAATGTTAAACTTCTTTTGAAAATTTTCGTAAAATGTAATTATACAGTCTTCTAACGTCGTACTGTTTTTAAAGTATTTGTATATGTGAATGTTTTGGGCGCTTAAAGACTGTTCGTCATTTTCTATCTCGACTTGAAGTATAAAGTCAACCTTTCTGAAAGCACGTGTTATATACATATTTGTTATGCCAATGTACTTCTCTTCATTTATGTTCACAATCCAGTCTGTTGGAAACTTAAACGTTACTCTGTTCCCCTTTATTTTGACGTCAGGGTTTTCACTACTGAACGCAACAGATAAAGGTATTTGTCTATACATTTAATTCGGATAAAAATAAACCATTTACTCTTTCTTTGCTTTTGCTTCTTCTCTAGCTTTCTTCGCCAGCAAACGTGGGTTCTTTTGTCTTCCAGCAGCTAATGCAGCAAGTTGTTTTTCACTAAGTTTTCTCTTTGGTCTCTCTGGCTTTTGTTCTTGTTTTTGTTCCTTCAGTTCGGATAAAATTTGCTCACGAATTTCTTTCTTCAATGCTTCAACATCTATGACCCCTTGGGTCTTGTCCGTAGGGCTTGTCTGAGTCATTTGACTGCAGATAAAAAACAAAATTAAAACTTTAACCGATGTAAAATGAGTTTGTCAAAATCAGAGCGAGAGTCTATTATATTAAATGACGCAAGAGGAATACAACATCCTTTCTATTACGTAAGTCAGAGTAAAGATGGTAAAATATACGTAAGAAAAAGAAAGGTTCCATTAGCGAATGCAGAAAGCGACAACATTAAGGTGTATGGCAAGGGTGAAGTCCACGAAGCCCATATAAAACCTTCTGTTCAAACTGAGCCACCAAAAGAACAAGAAGAAAAGAAGCCAGATGTACTTTCAATAACGAACCAAGAGCTTATTGCAAAGTTCGTGAATTTCATTGAAAACAAACGAGTCAAAGAATCCTGACCCGCCAGTGAAAGAAGTTGAGACAAAAGAGAATGTACAGTTCATTGAAATGTCAAGAAACAACTTCCACCACGAATGCCAAGAAGAAGAGTGAGAATAATGAAGTAAATAGATATTTTTATCCGAAGTAAATACATGCAGAACGAACAGTTAAACGAATTTACTCCAGCAGAGCATATTCATCAGATTCGCTCATATTTCGATATCATAGACAATGCAGTTCAAATTGGTGACACTAATAGAAAATATTCTGACGCAAAGATTCCATCACAACCTGGAACTGCTAAAGATAAACATGGGTAACATTCAATCTCTCACCTCCTGGTGAAAATATGTTGGACCTTTACAATACATTCATTACGTATAAAATGGAAGGTCAATTTATTGTAGATAAAGAAATTGGTTCAGGTTCCAATAAAACAAACCCACCAGGATTTTGGATTGGTTTCGATGACGCTTTCTATGCAGTTGCTGGATATCAAATCCTTGCAAATGGTCGTATCGTATATTCTCAAGACAACGCAAGAGAAGAAGCATATATAACTTCAAACTCACAAACTACCGAACAAATAAAGAAAGTAGATGTTTTCTCAAAGACTCGACATGAAGATGTATGGAGTCATTCGGGAACATGCAGAACAGGACAAATTGTTAGTGGTCCAATTACAGCAGGAAAATCATTTGATTTTAAGCTTCGTTTAAGAATTTCCTGTTAGAAGATTCCTTCCATTAGAAGCTATTCGATTTATTCCAGCTTTTGCAGGAAACATTCAGCTTAAAGTAAAGTTCAGTAGCGACGCCTTACAATGCACATCTATATCTGTAAATGATATCATTGCTTTCAATCCAACTCTTAAAGTTGCATTTGCTTCAGATTCAAATCCACCGACAAATAAATTTGTTCCATGGAATGAACCATTCACTATGATAACGAAGGCAGTAGAAGCTAGTGGAACAGTTACTATTACAACTGTAACCCAGCAACTATTTCGAACAAAGATGGATTTTAATGAATGTTTCATCATCCAAAGTCATTCTCTTTAGACCCTAACATTTATACAGAATTGTAGAACATTATACAAACGAGGCTTTATGTTTTCCTGTTAAAGTTATGGATTGGATTCCTATGGACGGTTCATTCTCAAAGAATACAGATAGTTCAAGTGCAACATTTACAGCAGCTTATACGCCTATTAATGTTAAAAGTATTTGGGCACTATTTAGAAAGAAACAACTATTATGTTAATTTTGAGAACCCTAAGTTTAAATATCTTCAGCTTTCCATGGGAGCTTATGGAAATATGCCTGCAGAACCTGAAAAATCATATGGACCTGTATTTTATGAAATGGTTGCGAACGCCTGCAATACAAACAATGATATGATAGGATTTAATGAAGATGTTATGAGGTCATTGGTGGATGATGGTAGTGTGGAACATAAATGGGATAGCTATGACAACACACATTTCTTATGTGGTTTTCCAACAGAAGTGGACTTTTGCTTCCAGCAAGGTCAAACATCTACTGCTCCAATAACATACAAATTGTCTGTTAAAGGACCTATTGAACTAGCAACTGAAAATGTACCAAAGCCACTTATTGGATTTATGAGGGATTGTTGCTTTGCCATTCAGGTGCGTGCTAATGGCATCCATAATAAGATTAGATGACTATAACTTAGCTACGGACGACAGTGAGGAATAAATGATGAACGTTTATTTTAAGCTTATAATGAGTTTCTCAAGCTCTCGTGAACCTTCACCATCTATGAAACAAACTTTACCAAACGATTATGGAGCACCTATTGAATATTTATTACGAGCTGCACAATGGCAAAGAGCAGTCTCACCAAGGTTAGGTGTTCCACCAGCTCCTGTCAAAATAGCATTTGGTCAAGTCCTTATATAAGATATGGTCTCCACACTAGGTTTGCTAGCTACAGCAGGAGCAGTTATGATGTTGAAAGAAATAAAGCAAATGTTGTAAATAATACTGAAGTAGCTGAAGTTAAACAAACTCCAACACCTTCAAAGCAAAACCTTCAATGACTCCTGAACCTATGGAAGTACAAACTCCTGTTCAAAGTCAACTCCTAAACCGACGCCATTTAAACCAGAACCTACTCCTCAAATAAATCGTAAACTCCTGCGTTTCCTTACTGAAAAAATAACGTTATTTTTATTTAATATTAAATTTTATTTGATTGAAATGACAAATAAAGTCACTGAAGCAATGAAACAAAAGTTTTTGGTAGAATACATTAAATCAGGAACTATTCCAGAAGGTTTTTACATTCATACTATGAAGGATGGTAGAGTTCAGTTTAGAAAGATAAAGCAACCATTAGATAGAGAAGGTATATTAAGGAAGATTAAACTTCATGAGGACAACATTGCTGAACTTAAGAAGAAGTTAGAAGAGTTGGAGAAAGGAAGAGAGTTATAAAGCAATGAATTCAACAGGGTGAAAAACCGGGTGAAAAAAGAGGTGAGATCTCACCACTTCACCTAAATTTATTTTTGTGCTATGTTTTCATACGTGTGAGGGTGGTGATATCATTAATTTTTAAGTTTATTTTTTATTTTATTTTTATATAAATGACAGAACAAAAGCAACTCATACAAATCAAAACATATAACAAACATACATTTAAACATTTATTCTTCCTTCCTGAGTATAACATGTTCTTTACACTTCATCCTAGACCAGTTGACTATACACTGACTGTTTATAAAGATTGTCATGGTAGTTTTATAAAAACTTATGATGATGAAGGTAAGTTAACAAGACTATGCATTTCAAAACTTGAGAAACTTTATGACTTCAAGTATGACTACAATAGAGTTAACATTGACGATGAAGATATTGAAGAAAATTTATGAGAACGTTTATTTTTTCATTAGTGAGTTCGTTAGTGAGGTGAAATGGTTGGCGGCTTTGTAAATATTTAAGGTTAAGTTCGTTTTTGCGTTCGTGTTGTAAAATATACGTTAGCGGTTTCGTAAAGTGTCAAACCGTTATCTTGGGTAAGGTGGAACGCAGTGCCGCCGTACCCAAGATAGTTTTACTAACTGTCAAGCAGCATCAAGGAGCTACGGCAGCAAGAGGCTACGGCAAGTTAAAGATCAGTCAGATCTGGAAATATCTTTTTCAGGATTTCATTTGTCATGAAAAGCTTCAATAGGATTCTACACTTTATTAGATCTTCACGTGCGTTTTGATTAAACCTATTACGCAGGTTCCGCACAATTGAAATCATTCTTTCCACATCAGCTTCGGTTGCAGCAATAGACATGAATTTTAAGGCAATCTCTTTCAATGCCTTGAAATTTGCATCACATGCTACCCAAAACCTTTGATCCAAGCAGGTGAGGTCGGTGTTGTTCCTGATTTCACTCTCATTCATATGTATAAAGTTGGAAAGAGCTTTCTTGTACTCATTAGCTATGCTCTTGGCCGAACTTCTCTTGTAGAACCTCGCTTCTGCTTCTGCACGTCTCGAAAGCATCTCGATCATAAAATCGTTGAAGCTGTACTCTTCCACTTCTTGCATTGACAGAGACGCCCATTCACCAAGGTTCCTGCCTAGTCTCCTCCTTGGTTCATTCTCTTCAACTTCTTCATCCTGAGCAATGTCTTCTGCATCTACTTGGCCATCACCTTCAATTGCTTCGTTCTCAATCTCGGGCTCTTCTATATCTAGATTTCTGTCCAATTGATCCTCTGCCACTTCATCCAAATGATCAGGGGTGTAGCTCCTTGGAGGGATTTCAAGTTCAGCATTGATAGGTATTGGTTCTTGGAAGAAGAGTGAAACGTCTGGCTTGTACTCAGTATGCATGTTCAATTCTGCGCGGATGACTGACCGGCCCCATGGAGTTAGACCAAAGGCAAATTTCATCAAAGCGTAGTTGCCCTGTTTGTCAAAAACTTCATTCATGTTGGCGATTAATGCATCTGCAATGCGCTTTGACGAACTTGATAATTCAGGACGATTTGCAATTCCGGTCAACTGCTCAATCGTCGATTGAAACATTGGATAGATGTAGCAGAAGCAGCCAACGTCACTCTCTGCATAATTCAAGAGTTTCTTGATTGGTAAAAGAATCTCTTCGAAATTTAACAACCATTGTGGAAGTCCATCCTTGAAATCAATTCCCATATCCCTTAAGATCTGAACAGATTCCGGTGGATCATCCATATTGAACAATTCATAAATTTTAGGGTGTTTTTCTTTTATCCACTTCAGAAGATCCCAGAAAAACATCCAGCGATGATCCGGAACATGAATAACCCTCATATTCAATGCCCTTCTCGTGTCCGGCTTCGATAACTCCTTGCTTATCGCTTTGCAATAATTAATTTGCATTGCGAAAGCTGCACAATTGTCTGCCGTATGCTTCACCACTAAGTTGAGGAGATGCGCAACACATCGGATATAAACGGTTTGAAGACCCGGATATAGTGCTCCGCATCTCCTCCAGTGGCACAGCCCTTTAACTTGGGCGGGGCATCCATCGGCAACAATTGCAGAAAGGAAATCCTTTGGGAAGGTAAAACATTCAAAGAAATTATTGTAATCCCTGGCATTCCAACCATCAGCGATCATAGTATCAATGAAGATATGGTTCTTCATTTTTGCTGGATTGCTAGCCATCACAAAAAAGCCATGCCGGCTTCCGTGTGATGCCGCATCAATTGTTATCGAATAGTAGCCCATCTTGTCAAGCTCAACGTGTATTTTTGGAGCTACCAAGTCGGCTAATGTAATGATTCCATCCCTTATCTCGTCTCTTCTATATGGGATCTTGAGTTGAAAATTGATTACTCCCTTGAAGGTGGAGTAGACATGTCGGGCGAAATCTTCTAGTACACCTGAAGCGGCCATATTGATTGACATGTTGGTATCCACAACAAATTTTACAACATAAAGTAATTTTCTATCTTGTTTTATTAAATCTCTTCTCGTATATGGATTATTTTCACATTGTATTTGATATATATGCTGATGATCTTCATCAAATTCTGATGGTTTTCGATGATAAATGCAGCGCATATATGTTTTTGTTAGTAAATTGTAATGTATCGCTAAACAGTAACAATAAAGTCTTTTTCGTTCTTTCGATTTTTCGCTTGTATCTGGAAGATAAGCAATATTGAAACATACTCGACATTTATTATTAGTTGAGAATTTAGTATCCTCGAATTTTGGTAAGGGAGGTACTTTTCGAGGGATATTTTTGGGAGGAAGTTTGCAATCAATCCATCCCTCAAATTTGGATTCATATTCATCTTGTGTTTCAGTCATTAATTCTTAAAAATAAAAAGGTAAAAACTAAATAAAATGGGTAAAATTCAATAGTGTCTGTGCTATCGTTCAATTTGAAGGTGTCTTTTGAAACCGCAAGACACATTGAATTTTTGAATAGTGTATTATGGTTTGACAGACACCAATGAAAAAAATAAAATGATATTTATTTTAAATATATAAGATCCTTATATAAAATATAAATATTTTATCGTTTTATTTTCTTGTTTTAGAAATGTTTTTTATTGAAAAATCAATAAAACTAACTCCAAAATAAAATTTTTGATTTAAGGACACTATGATGACACCAGGCAAATCTTCCAAGACACCTATCGTCGGGAATCTAACAACCCTAATTCTATTTCATTTATCACATAATTAAAAAAATAATGTATTTGTTGTATGAAACGATAAAAAAATAAAAAATTTATACATCATTCCACATTTCTTTATCTTTTAATTGGTGTCAAAGTTATAAAAAGTATAAATTGTAAAGAGTGGGATCAGATTCAAAAAATTGCAGAAAAAAGTGATATTTGGAATGGTAATCTCAAAAAGTCATTATTAATAGGTGATTTAAAAACATCCTTAAATTTGCAAAATGATATTGTCCTTCCAGACGTAGAGTTTCCATGCGACCATTCATACCTTGTCAAAAATAAAGTTATCCGATATAAATAACCAACAACAATAAGGGATGAACATTATAAATCCCTAAAGGTCATTCAAAATTATCAGAGACGATCAAATCAATGAGAAAAAAATTTTCTTTATCAAACGAATTTCGAAAAAATGTAGATTATTAAAATAGCTTTGAAATATAGTAAGAAATATTAATGAATATTTCTCACAATTTTTTGTTGGTGCGAAACGAATAAAACCAAAATATGATATTTTTGTTGCATGCTAAGTAGTGTCAACGATAGAAATTGAGAGCCTGTTAATCGTCGAGGAAGTACGATTATTTTTTGCGCGAAAAAGTATCTTAAAATATGATTATTAATATGTTTTTAAAATAAAAAATTTGAAAGTTAATTTGAGATTCTCATATAATTTTTTGAATGAAAAAATAAATATAGTCTATATGAGTTTTTGAATAATCACACTTGAGATATATCTAAAAAATAATTAAAAATAGAGTTTGAGAAGACTTTTCAAGATGTAATGAAAAGTGTGATATAGAAAATAATTATAGATATTTTAATTTTATATATTGTGCTAAGCATTATATTAAATTCTTAGGAAAAACACTTTTCATAAGTATTCAATATTTGAAAATACGCTCCAAAAAAGAATAGATTCTTTTATATTCGCTTATATAAAAGGAGACTCTCTATCAGATGCGAATGCATGAATCCAGCACCTCTGATAGAGAGTTTCCTCTTATATAAGCGGATCTTTTTCATGAGTTATTGTTAATATAAAAACATAAAAATCTACCAATATGAGAAATTAAACCCTGCGAGGCACCAGTCTAGAACTGGCACTTCGCAGGGTTTAATTTCTCTTGACAAAATACAATAATCAAATGCTCCAAAGTTTTCAAATTTTTATTAGGAATAGGAGCCTACAAAGCACTGATTATATATCAGTGCCTGGTAGGCTCCTATTCCTTCTCTAAATGGGAGAAACTTTGTTTGAATAAGATAACATGCGAACAAAGTTTCTCCCATTTAGAGTGGGATTTGGAGGGTGGGAGGTACATAGATAGACTATGTATCTCTCACCCTCCAATTCCCTCGGGAAAGTTCGAAAACTCGGTCGCAATCAGATAAAATTGCGACCGAGTTTTCGAACTTTCTATTAGGAATAGGAGCCTACAAAGCACTGATTATATATCAGTGCCTGGTAGGCTCCTATTCCTTCTCTAAATGGAGAAACTTTGTTTGAATAAGATAACATGCGAACAAAGTTTCTCCCATTTAGAGTGGGATTTGGAGGGTGGGAGGTACATAGATAGACTATGTATCTCTCACCCTCCAATTCCCTCGGGAAAGTTCGAAAACTTTGGTGCAATCAGCAACGATTGCACCAAAGTTTTTGCGTTTAATTGAAGGAATTGTTCTTTATGATATATACAGTTACAATGCATATATCATAAGGAGCAATTCCTTCCAGATATCTGGCAAACTTGCTCGCAATGGTTCACAATTGCGAACAAGTTTTGTCATTTGTCAAGAGAAATTAAACCCTGCGAAGTGCCAGTTCTAGACTGGTGCCTCGCAGGGTTTAATTTCTCATATTGGTAGATTTTTATGTTTTTATATTAACAATAACTCATGAAAAAGATCCGCTTATATAAGAGGAAACTCTCTATCAGAGGTGCTGAATTCATGCATTCGCATCTGATAGAGAGTTTCCTTTTATATAAGCAAATATAAGAGAATCTATTTTTTTTGGAGCGTATTCTCAAATATTGAATACTTATGAAAAGTGTTTTTTTCTAAAAATCTCAGAATATATTTACAATAGTAAAATAAATAAGATATTTAAATTTATTTTTAAATGCTTTTTTATATGAGATTCTCAAAAGTTATATCAAAAGTCTGTTTTTTCTAAAATCTAATATCATAATCTATTTCTCATTTTAAGTACATCTTAATTCATTTTATTTTCTATATTTTTTTCAATATTTTTGAGGGAATTGTGTTGCTTCCCCGACGATAAAATTGAGAGGTTTACACATTGACACTACTTAGCATGCAACATTTTAATAGTTAAATGATATTCAAGATTAATTTCATAAATTGAAATTCATTTTAACCTCAATCCTCTCAAAATTGAATTCAATATACACTACTTTTATTAAAAAATTTTACTCAATTATTCATCAAAATAATTATAATAATATTATAGACTTATTTTGAGCAATTATCTAAGCCATCTTTCAAAATTTCTGAGATTACTTTCAAATCTTTCTCAAATTTTCAAGAAAATAGAAACGATTATTCTCTGAAAATGAAATTTTAATACGAAATAAGTTTTTTAATTATAGAATAGAGTAAACCGTTTTTTTAATCATACATATAAATGGTGAAAAACTATAACCAACATTAAGGCAATAACTTCAATATTTTTTGCTATTGTGGAAATATAAAATTTCACTTCAATCAAATCCAAACTCATTATCGTTAGAAGTGAAGTCGATAGACTCAAAAAAAGTCTCGAGGTTCGTAGCATCAAAAGGATCCGCCGCTGGCGCTTCTAAATTATTTTTTCTTAAGATTTCAATTTGTTTTGGGGGTATATAAGTTTCTGGTGATTGAGTGGATTCTTTTTCTAGTTTTTGAAGGCGTGATTTGATCTGAGAAACAGAATGACCAGGTAAGTAAATTTGAATCTTATTCCATCTACGACCCAATATCTTGTATTTTTGAATTAAAGTTTCATCTTCATCACCAGTCCATACAACGCTATTTCTTCTCTTTGATAACACGTTTTTCCAACGATCATGGCATTGGTGAACATTGCGACCCGGCATTCTTGAGGCAATTGTTACCCAATTCTTCAACTTCTCTTCTACTATAAGACGTCTGAGTTCTTTGTCTTCCTCTGGTGTGAATTTAATCATTGGATACTTCTTATCTTCGTCGTCGGACATTAAAATAAAATAATTTTGAGCAGTTCTCTGTTTCGTGTATTGCTAAAAATTTGATAAGAGTCATTGAAATATTTATGAGAGCAAATTTTGTTAGAACCATTTGACAAAACAATTCTGACAAATTGAATCGGGGTAACAAATGAAGATTGACTTCACAAATAAAAAAAGTATTCAGGATATCATGTTATATACAAAACACAATTTCTCAGGGAATTATTTCTGAAATAATTTTTTTTTGTTTTTTCATAAATCATGATTTGGGAATTAATTTTACCCTTTTAGCAATTCAAAGTTATTTAGACAATAAAGAGTTTAATCAGGAGTATCCGAACAAATATCGCAAATGACGATCAAGAAGATGATAACCGTTGGATGAAAATTTTTTTCAATCCTAGTAATTATAATTAATTTGTTTATCAATGAAGAATACAATAATATTGATTTTATTATCATGCCTCTCAAAAAATTATTTTCACTTAGGATTGTAAGAACAAGCCTTCAGACTTTACTTGATCGACCAATATTTATACAAAACAATATAAGGCCATATAGATATAGTTAATTTACCTTCTGCTTCTATCATCTCAAAAAAATTAAATAAGTTATCGATTTACAATTTAAAACCATTTGTTTCGAAAAATGAAACTTACCAAATATTTTGTATTTCAATCTATTTTTGATTTAACAATGATAATTTTTAAAACAATAAAATTACGAATTATGGAACATTATTAAGCCTTCATATATAAAGGTTTATATCTTTATATTATAAATTTAGAATTATGTTAGGATGTAGAAAATTTGAATAATTACTTTTTAAAAATTCTTGTAAAATTTTCATTATGATACTCTCTTTCAGAAGAATATCCGATATGAATATTTTCAACAAACTCTACAGCGGTCAATTTTCAAATTTTCAATGAAAATAATTTATTATCGATTTTTTCAATGTGAGCATACAAAAATGTAAATTCAAAAAACATTCCCTTATATTTATTTACATATAACAAATCATTCTCTTTTTAATATTACATTCAAATCACTTTTGATAATTGTTTTCATATTAGACCACTTATCATATTTTTATCTAAAAATAACAAATATACTTTTGTTTTTATATTACCATCCGAAAACTTTTTAATTGAATTTTATCAAAACTTCTTCTGCCCATTATTCGATAAGTTGTCACATCACTTTTCCCGCTAATAAGATTGATTTCGATTTTTGATCTTTGTTTTTCAATGTTTTATTTCTTCACTATACCATTTCCTCGGCTATTTTTGCAATATTTCATTTATTTATTGTCGGATTTTGATAATTCCATTTGATATATAAACCTTTTAAATGATTTGACAATTGGACTTTGCATTTCATAAACAAAAAACAATTTCTGATCCATTAATTTGGTTCAATCAACTTCGATTCAAAACAATAATGGATTTCTTTGAATTTCATACATTTTTAGAGAATCCGAATACAATTTCATGAATAAATAACATTTATTTCAATAACAAAAAACAATTTTATATCTATTTCGAAATCAATGCTCTATCAATGTATTTCTGGATTAAATTCGCCTTTATTTTGGTTGGCTTTTTATCAGTGTCGGATATTGTCTTTAACATGCTTTTAATATTCTGGAAAAGCGAAGAATATGTGGTTGTATTAATTTGTTTTTGTGTGTTATAGATTCTATCCCTTTCTTCTGCTTCAATTACCGGGTTCTTCGGAAGCATGTTAAAGTTTTGGAAGACAGTTGTTTCATCCTCTCTTCTTTTTACAACAGTTGATTTCGGTCTCGAAGCCAATGGAATATCAGCTAACTTGGAAGCAGGCCGGACTGTTTTAAGAGGTAATGGATGATATAATGGAGCTCTTTGAACGTTTGGAGTCTTTTTTGTAACTTTAATTGTCGAATTACTTGATTTTATGTAGGGACCAGTTTTCTTAGAAGCAGAAATACGTCTATCTGTTAAAGGAGTTTTAAGTTGATTTTCACGAATCAACTGCTGTTGAAGATGTTCTTTTCTAATTTGAGAAGCTTTTGTTTCTCTACACATTGCGAGTTGTGAAGCTTCGAAAGCTTTATCTAGGACAGCTTGAGTTTCGTGAAGTATCTTGGGGTCTGTTATTGGATAAATTTGTCTCCAATTTGTTTCTTTTGCGATTTCTGTTTCAGTATTTGGATTAAAATCACAAATTTGAGTGGCCGTTGAACTACAGAACATATATTTCTTCATTGCTTGATTATATCTCTTTCTGAATGATGGCTTTAGATCAATAATTTTCATTGCTCCTATAACACACGATCTTTTTAAGGCTTCATCAAAAGGACTGCCTGTACTGAGACTTGGCATTGTGTTTACTTCGATCAACCATGGATTTAAATGCTCATCAATTAAGATATCAAATCCAAGTATCTCAAAACATCTACTTTTGCCATCATTTGCAGTAACAGTTGTATGATAAGTCGCTTGTAAGTGTGGCTGAATTGATATTAGCGTTAATCTGATGATCATATCGATTCTGTCTTTAAGTTTTTGAACATCAGCGCCTTCAACTTCGCTGATTCTTTTAAACACACTTGTCATGGTACGTTTACTTCCTGTTTCAGGAGCTATATCTGTATCATTTGTTTGGAAGTTCTCTGAGTTCTTGTTAAGCGAGAAATTTGTAAGATGTGAATAGCAATCTGATAAATTGCTAGTCTTTGGCTTTTTATAAGGCTCTGTACAAAACCTTGCCATTCCTTCATTATGAATATATAAGCGAAGAGGAGCTACTGATGTAACTAGAGCGTAAATTCTGAGATCAAACTTGTAGCCATCAATAAGGAATGGTTCAACGTATTGTTGAGCTACTGCACTATCATTGTACTCCTCTATTAAAGAAGTATCCTGGACGAGTTTGATTCCTCGCCCTTGACATCCAGTATCGGGTTTAATTATAAATGTTCTTTTTGATTTAAATGGTATCGATTGCATATATTCGCATAGCTCTGAAGCAGATCGCGGTAATATAAAAGTTTTCGGGTGAAAGTTGTAAATATTTGGAATAATTCTTGACATAAGGTCCATTGCTTTCGATAATTCTACTTTGTGCGCAATGCCTGACATACCTGGAAAGTGATTATAAAATTGGTATCGTTTTAAATTCGCTGCAAGCTCCGAACCTCCTTCGTTATCACACCAAAAGAGGGTGTTTTTCACTTTAGATTCTGTTACTTTCCATCCCATTTCTTTCACACATTTCTTTATGAGAGGATAATGCGTTGCTTTAAGATTGACATAAATTACGTTCTTTGGTTTCTTATTTGGAGTTGATTCTTGCATGATTTTAGCAGGAGTAGGGGTAATTTTAGCTAAAAGTGACACACTCGTGAAGGGTGTGATTACCGATCGGTAATTTCGACAGTTTAGAATTTAAAATTTTTTATGGAACTGTTGCGAGTTTCATAAAGAATTTAAGGAATATAAGCAAAGATTTGAATCAAAATCTTAGACCTAAGCCGCTCGATTCGCTCGCGGCTTCCGCGAATTACAGATCAGCAAAGATTTGAATCAAAATCTTCGAACTAAGCCGATCGCTTTGCTCGCGGCTTTCTTTATTATTTTAAATTTGCATATTTCCATCAAAAGTTCATAAGGTAAAAAATTTCGTTTATTTTTACTAAGAAAAAAAAGGTTTTTGATAATAAATTTATTTTATTTCGAAAAAGTAGCAATAATCGTAAAAGGGTATTGATAGGCTTGCTAAAGTAACTAATTTTAGCTGTCAAATACTTTTGTATTTTGAAGTAAATTAGTATAAATTTGTTTTTACTTTTATTTCGAAAAAGTAACAATAATCGTAAAAGGGTATTGATAGGCTTGCTAAAGTAACTAATTTTAGCTGTCAAATACTTTTGTATTTTGAAGTAAATTAGTATAAATTTGATATTATTTTAACTCCCTTTGAAAACCTCAATTTTCCATACAGAGGGAACGGGAATAGCATCCAATATTCCCTGAGAATGGTTGCGCATTCTCAGTTCCCTCTATATTTCGAACGAAGCTCTCATCGGTCTTTTTTTAATACTAAACGTTTTTTTTTCTGTCACTTTTAGCTAAAATTTGGGTTTGCCCTTACAAAACTTTGCCATATTCCCGACAATTCCGAGTTCAATTATGATATAGTTCCTAATTATCAATAAAGTTTAATGAATTTATTTTACTTTGAATGAGAGATTATTATTGACAATTTTCTCGGTACATTGACAATTTGACATCCTATCATGATTTTCCAATCCAAGGAAATCAATTCGGATCATGGTTTTCATTGTTAAAGCAAAATTCTTCAATATGAGAATTAGATCTATATATTTTCTCTCTTGAAGCGTCTGATAAGTTGTCTAGCTTAATACATCAGTATCGTACATTTTGCATGTGAAAGTAAAATGCTGAAAAATAAGTTCAAGAGATTAGAGTTGTCACTGCATCTCCAAATTTACTTTAAAATATGAGGGTATCAGTTTTCAAGAGAAATAACTTAAATATCATTGACATTCTTCATCAACAGTTCGTTATCAGTTGTGGAATCTATTTGATTGCAACTAGTTCATTTTTTGATGAGTTAATTTCGCTTAACTCTGTTAGCAACTAAATAAAATAAAAAGATAACGAAAGAAGATGATAGAAAACGTAAATAGAATGAATGTAGCATGCTAGATAATATAAGTCATAACAACATTTAGATTTGATTCAAAAATGAACAATTTATTTTGGAAATTGCATGAGGAAATCAAAGACAATAAAGGGCAACGATGAAAGGATATAATTGCAGAGATTTCTTGTGAAATATCAGTTATGATCGAGTAGGGGTAATTTTAGCTAAAAGCGACATGCCTGTAAAAAGTGACACACCCGTGAAGGGTGTGATTACCGATCGGTAATTTCGACAGTTTAGAATTTAAAATTTTTTATGGAACTGTTGCGAGTTTCATAAAGAATTTAAGGAATATAAGCAAAGATTTGAATCAAAATCTTAGACCTAAGCCGCTTGCTAAAGTAACTAATTTTAGCTGTCAAATACTTTTGTATTTTGAAGTAAATTAGTATAAATTTGTTTTTACTTTTATTTCGAAAAAGTAACAATAATCGTAAAAGGGTATTGATAGGCTTGCTAAAGTAACTAATTTTAGCTGTCAAATACTTTTGTATTTTGAAGTAAATTAGTATAAATTTGATATTATTTTAACTCCCTTTGAAAACCTCAATTTTCCATACAGAGGGAACGGGAATAGCATCCAATATTCCCTGAGAATGGTTGCGCATTCTCAGTTCCCTCTATATTTCGAACGAAGCTCTCATCGGTCTTTTTTTTTAATACTAAACGTTTTTTTTTGTCACTTTTAGCTAAAATGTGGGTTTGCCTTAAAAAATGGACATCAAAATTATAAAGTATAGGAAAATAAGACTAGAATAATATTTTAAAGTAAAATGATCATTATCTTGATCGACCATCGATGTATTCAAACTTCCCATAATTTCTTTCAATTGACGTCACTTTTGAATTTTGAGAAGTGTTAACACTATTCAAAATATGATATTTTGATAAAGAAGTGAATTAATGAATATATTATGCTTATGTATTATTTGAGATTATGATATTTTGAACGGACAACTATAATTTAAATTTTTGTAAAAACATTTATCACAATTCACACTATTTTGACAAAATAATTTAGAATACTTGCATTACAACATGAAAGCTAACCAATAATTAAATTAATCCAGTTGAACTTTGAGTTCAACCTAAAAAAATTAAAAATACGAATCTATTATGTGTATATAATGTGTGATGAATCATCCGTAAGTATTTCAAATTTGTTTCAAACCAATTTTTTTCTCTCAATCAACATAATGGATTGAATGCACTTTTTGGTCATCACTCATATTTATGAAGCATATGCATTATTTCCCAATATCTCAAAGATAGCAGAAATAATTTTATCTGAAAATACAATTTTCAATCGAACCATATCAAAGCTTTCAAAACTCTTTGTAATATTTCAATGTAGACATACAAAAATTTGATAAGCTAAAATTTTTTTCAAAAATAATTAACAAATACTATACCTTATATCATAAACATACTACGTCATTAATGGGAACGATAAGTATACTTTCAATTGGTTTCAGAATCGTTTTTGTCAATTTTCAACTTCATTTTTAGACATCATGTCTCCAGTTGGCAAGCCACATCCAAAAGATAAATTCACCCAGTCAGAAGATGATAAGCTTAGACTCCTTGTACAGGTGTTCGGTACATCTAATTGGAAAAAAGTTAGCGAATACATGGTTACAAGAAATCCAAGACAATGTCGCGATAGATATAAAAATTATTTAGCTCCACACCTTAATTCTAGTCCATGGGTTCCTGAAGATGATGCAAAGTTGCTTGCATTAGTTCAGCAAAATGGCCGGAAGTGGTCAATGATCGCAAAGGAGTTCCCAGGAAGAACAGATATTAATATAAAAAGCAGATACTCATTACTTCTTCGCCAAGAAGAAAGAGAAAAGGAGAAACAAAAATTGAATCCAACTCCAGCACCACTTATTCAAAAGTTACAACCAGCTCCAGCTCTTGAATTTGATGATTCTGTTGATCTTTTCGATTTCAACGAACTTCAGGATTTCGATTTTGGATTTTAATTGTTTGGTTTTTTCTGTTAGTTATAAACAAGTATTTTATTTAACCTACTTTTATTTTTAGCTAACTATATCACCTTCCAATTTCCTCGGGAAAAGTTTTTCTCAAAGAGTTTCACTCAAAGTAAAAACATGCTATTCAAACGACCCATAAGCAATTCAAAAATTGAATATTCTTTCAAAATTGAGTCGATCATTCAATTTATACGGGAGTTATTTTATCTCAATTTCTTTGAAAATGATATAATTTCTTTATTCAGCATCTACAAACTATTTTGCAAGTTATCATACTCATTGTAAATTTATTTTTGCTGACTGGTCTATTCAATTATTTCTTTACTATCGATATTTCAATGCTTCATGTTTAAACAGGCCGAGATTCATCAACAGATGATCAGTATTTTAAATTAATTTTTCTTCATTTGGCTCAATATAAAATGCATTCGGTTAAGGGTGCACCCGTATGTACGTTTATTTGAGAGGAGGAGGATTACCCTCTCAATTTTGAGGGATTCGTTAGTTTATTTTCTCGATGAATATGCAATAAAATTTGATTTTTACCTTATCAATATACTTCATATAATATACACATGTTCATGTAAAAACTTTTTTCCAAAATCCTCAGGAATTAAGGGATTTTTGAATTTTCAGAATTTTTTTCGAATTTTTTCGAAAAAAAAATACTTTCAGAACAGCCTTAACGGCTAAGATTTAGGAACAATGTTAAGTATCAAAAAGAAAGGAGGTCTGATATAGACAACATATATCGTTGAAGGTTGAAAAAATCTCTAATATTTGAGCCCAAAATTTCAAATTTTAATTTTTTGAAAAAAGAGGCCACCCGTATGTACGTTTATTTGAGAGGAGGAGGATTATATTTTTGAAATGGTGAAACATTATGAATATGTTAATTATATAATAATATGTATTATTATAAAAAAGAAAAAATAAAGCACGTTAAAATTTTTCTTTCTTGATTTTTTACAAAATCTACTTAGAATTATGCAAAATATGACTAAATAATTATAAATTCCAAGTTAAATTTTAATTTTGATAAATAATTTAAATTTCAAAATATCAAGTTCAGTTCGACTATGTATGTAGTAATTCCTCAATAAAGTGCCAAAACCCTATTAAAATATATGAACATTTTCAACATTTTAATGTTTTTATTTAAAAATTTGATGGAATATGAGCTTCAAACAATTATTATGTAAATAAAAATAATTAAATATATGTATTTATTCGTATTACAACCGTAGTAAGTCGATTCTTCCTTTCTTCTACTGAGGTTTGAATTTGATTTCGAATTGTAAAGAGATTCAAAGGGAAAATACTAGCGGATAAAAACTACCTCCATGAAAGGGTCATAATGAACTCAAGTTGTATTTTTTGATATTTTTTGCTTTTCGAGCCTAAATAGGTAGCCAAGATAATGCCTAAAAATAAGGTTCTAAATTATGAAGTTTACATGATCCTCTCGTGTGCACCCTTAATATTGATTCAGAGAACGAATCAATATAAGTATTGAAAAATCTCAGAAAATGAAATTCAAATTAATGACTACTTTACTAAATCCCTCAATGAGAATTTAGATTCCTAATTTGATAAATAAAGCCATTAAAAGTAAAATAAGTTAAAACATTTAGTAATTTTTCAAATAAGAAGGCAACATTGACTTTTGCCTTTTCCATCATGGGCATCAGTGCTCTTTTTAACTTCAACACCATAATACTTGCAATATTCATAAAATTGTATTGTTCCATTCATATTTTCATCCATCTTTCTCATCTTCTTTGCTTCTTCATAAACATTTGTATTTGGATTGAAGCCTTTATGGAAATCAATTAATTCCTGAAGCTTAACATTACCATCTCTATCTTTATCCATGGCCTGATAAAAGACTTTGAGGATCTCATAAGGATATTTTTCTTCCTCGATTTCTTTGTAATGATCTTTCCATTGGATGAGGAAATTTTGTATAGGCTCCCATTTTGCTTTATCGTTTCTTTCATCATCAAAAGCGCGATATAAATTAGTAATCCAAAGATCTGATTTTGAATCATCAATTGAGCTGATAACAAAAATGAATTCCTCTTTGCTAACGGTTCCATCGCCATTTTCATCAGCTTTTTTAAGGCCACTATCAATGGCTGCTTGGATTTTCTCAGGAGTTGCCATAAAAAATAACGAATTATTTGTTTATTTTTATGGAAGTGGACAATAAAAATTAAATTATTGTCCAAAATGCGTATGAATACGTTCTATTGTAATAAACAGAAATTCATCAAAAGTGACAGCTCTCAATTTTTTGACATTTGTAAATTCTAAATTGAATGAGAAAAATGAAATAATACTAAGCATAATACAATATTCTAGATTTAATTATAATTAGGAAAAAGTTAGTTTTGAGAGTACTTTTCATAGGCATATAGAATGAAATCTTCTGAAAAATAATATCACATAAACTCATATTATTTTCTAATATATAACTATTTTATATAAAAATCAAATTCAATGATCTTAAAAGCGAAGGATAAACCTCAAAATTTACGAATATAATGAGTGGGAATATAATGCTTATCTATCATAAAACCATATGAAATATCAATTTTTGCTTTACGCCTAATTTTTGACGACAATTAGCAAAAAATGTTAAATGTTAACACTCAGTCCATTTGAATATGAAAAATAAAATTGACTTTGATTAAATGTTTTTATTTATCATGCAATTCTTCTTGCGACCAAAGATTTGAATAAAAGTTCAAAAAATAAGATAGCTTAAAAAATAATATACGGTAGTGTTTACTAATAGATGAATAGTATATAAATTCTATTAAAATGGATTTGATCCAAAAAAAATAAAACCAAAATAATTGTTATAATTTAAATGAAGAAGTAATTTAACGATTTATTATATGTCAAATAAAATCGTTTTAAATTACTTTCATTTAAATTATAACAATTAATTTTGGTTTTATATTTTTTTGGATCAAATCCATTTTAATAGAATTTATATACTATTCATCTATTAGTAAACACTACCGTATATTATTTTTTAAGCTATCTTATTTTTTGAACTTTTATTCAAATCTTTGGTCGCAAGAAGAATTGCATGATAAATAAAAACATTTAATCAAAGTCAATTTTATTTTTCATATTCAAATGGACTGAGTGTTAACATTTAACATTTTTTGCTAATTGTCGTCAAAAATTAGGCGTAAAGCAAAAATTGATATTTCATATGGTTTTATGATAGATAAGCATTATATTCCCACTCATTATATTCGTAAATTTTGAGGTTTATCCTTCGCTTTTAAGATCATTGAATTTGATTTTTATATAAAATAGTTATATATTAGAAAATAATATGAGTTTATGTGATATTATTTTTCAGAAGATTTTGTGTTCTTCTTCAAAATTTTATTTTTTTATTAAAAAGAATCTTTACAAAATATACATTTACTTTAATTAATATTTAAAAACGTGCTCTATCAAAAGTTCCAAAAATTCAATAGTTTAGCTTTTCTGAGGTGTCACTTTTGATGAATTTCTGTTTACAACACTATTTTTCTCTCCGATAAGATATCAAAAACTTAATTTTTTGAGCAAATCGACTCCGCTTGAATCTGCACATATCCCGTTTATTTTGCAATTATTTGTATTAAAAGGAACATTTCCCTTAAGTTACCTTGAAAAATTCATTAGTTTGCGATATCAAACTTTATTGTTTTAGGTTTATATGTTCAATTCTTATACAATTTACTCCAGTAAGACATAAGTAAGATAGTCTATACAATGAATTTAAATAATTTAGTTCTTTGACATCCCATATTTAAGCTTCTTAAAAAAATTCTTAGTTTAATCTTTATCAATTAAGAAATAAACACTAAGCCAATAATACATTATATTTTATTGAAATTAAGCCAAATGATATGAATTATAATATTGTCTTTTCATAATTCGATTATATTGAGGGCTTTATTAGATATGCATAAGAGTTAATTAGTCTATTTGTATATAAACCAGCTAGCTGATGTTTTAGCGGCCATAAAAAATGATTGCAGAATATGACAGTGCTGGTATTGAAATGAAAGAAGTTAGATATGATAAAGGACATAAAAATAAAAACTACTGGAGACAACTGTTCCGTAATAGAAAGTTCCAGTTTTGCCTAGGAATTTTTATTGGGATGCAATTCTTATTTGTTCTAGGAGTATATTTTGGATTTTATGGAGAAGGAAGTCATAATATGCTTTATTTCTCCGATATTCATTACGATATTGCATACAATCCAATAAAACCATCAAAAACATGGTGCCATGATATCACAAATGAAACAGCTCCTTATTCAAAGTACGGAAAATACGGTTGCGAATCACCAAAAGCACTTGTTGATGCATTCTTTTCAGATCTTAAAAGAATAATTTCAGGTCCAAGATTAATTATGTGCGGAGGTGACACAACAAACACATGGAAGCAGACACATACTTTCGATAAAGTCATTAAAAACATTAACACCGTCGTTGAAAACATGAGAAAAATTTATCCAAATGTTCCTTTTATCTACAACTTAGGCAATGGTGACTATTATCCAAGCTATGGAGCGTTTGATACAGATAAAGAGCAATTTTCTCAAATTGCAGATACATTAGGGGACTATTTAACAGCCGAACAAAAGAAAAACTTTTCGAAAGGAGGATATTACTATTACGATGAAGATCATCACCTCATACGAATAATATCTTTCAATTCAATCATATATACCATTAACAGAAAACTAATTTCCGAAGATGATCCTTATGACCAATTTAAATTCTTAAAGGAAGCCTTACAAACCAAATTCCATAAAGTTCTACTGTTTCACATGCATCCTGGTATCACTGATCCTGAAAAACCTCTTGAATGGCACCAAAAATTTATAGATCAATTTGCAAAGATACTAAATGAGAATCCACCAGATACTATATTATCAGCACATACACATTTCGACATGCTCATGCCAATACATGGAACAGATTTGATTTCTTTAAGTAATCCAGGAATATCTCCGAGATTAGGAAATAATCCAGCATTTAGAGTTTATCACTTTACAAGAGGACAACTATTGGACTATTTCCAATACAATTATGACCTTTCTCAAAGAGATGAAATTCCTAAATGGAAATTTGAATATAAATTTACAGAAACATACAAACATAAGTATATTTCGCAGATGGCTTTGAAGCAAACCATCAAATGGGTCAATAAATCCCTTCAAAACTTCCAACTTTATTTATCTCATTTGCATGCAGGTGGAACCCATAATATGTGGTTCTACAAATGTGTTATGATCATAAACAGCAATGAGGATTATCAGAAATGCATTAATCAGTTCTTTTGAAATATTTTAAGAAATTATTCAGAATTTATTCAACACAAATAGACAAAACATTCTTTTAACAATGCGTTTAATCATTTGGTACGCTGAACTACCTTATTTTTTCAAATTATTTTCTACTCGATATATTTCAGACTTTTACAACATTTTACATAGAACCAGATTGATTTTTACAGACATTGACATACCAATACGCGTGTTTTACAAGTTTATATTTTGTGAAAATTGAATTTTTCAATTTTTTTCTCTGACTGACCATAATTGGTCAGTAACTATCCATAAAATATGCTTAGAAGCATAAAACTAGCTAATTGGCATACATGACTTATAATTCTATCGTCTTTCCATCAAGTTACTGTTTCTGACATTTTACTCCGATAATTTCCGCATAAAATTTTACTTATACGACAAGGAGATGTTTGACATAAAAATTGGAGCGAAATTTCTCAAAAAGTGACAAATATATTTTTCTATCGTTTTTAACGATAGAATTTTTTTTGTTCTCAATTTTTGTCATTATGGAATTGAATCCAGCATTCGTTCCTATACTGAACAACATGATGGCAAACATACAGAACAAGCCAATTACGATACCTCAAAACTTAAATATTCACGAAATCCAAAATTTAATTCAACAATTACCAAAAGTACCACAACCCATAGAGAAAAAGGCAACCACACACAACAAATTTACTCCTGATGACGATGAAAAGCTCAAGAAACTAGTTGTTCAACTCGGAATCGGACAATGGCGCCAAATCGCCTCAATTATGGGCGATAGGACAGCAAGACAATGCCGCGACCGATGGAAAAACTATCTCATGCCTGGAGTTAACACTGCTCCATGGACGGAATACGAAGATAAACTACTTGAACAAAAAGTAAACGAGTTAGGAAGAAAATGGTCTGTAATTGCCAAATTCTTCCCCGGAAGGACAGATATTAACATCAAGAATCGTTACGCATCACATACAACGAAGAAATTCAAAGATGATGAAATCATTAAACCAACAGTTGAGCAACTTGCTCAGCAACAAGCGCAATAACTTTTTTACGTTCATCTCCCTTTATAAATGTTATTTCATATCTTGCTTACATAACTCTTTTTTTTATCGGAAAAATAATTTATTGAAAAAAGCAAAAGTGACCGTTGTAAAGTGCAAACTTCCCTCTGAATTTTTTCTTCAACTCTCAAATCCGAAATAGTACAATATTAATAATCTACATAGCATGAATTTCATTTTTTTCAGCCTAAATATAAAAATTTTTGATTTTTATTCAATAATTTTTTTAATCACAGGGAGATTTACCTAAGATATTGAATCAAATGGCCACAATCAAGATCTGTATACCTTAAACTAATGCATGCCAGCTTCAATTAGAAAAATGTGATTTCATGATTGATTAAATGGAATCATAAAACAGATTATATAATAAAACTCCACAGCAAAATAATAAAGCATATGTACATGAATGAGAATACAATGATTATGCAATCAAACTGTCAGATTATAGCACTAACATCTTACTCAAAATGTATATCTTTTATGGTTAGTGAGAATAAGTAGTTAACCATTGAATATAAAGGATACAATATACAAAATTCCTGCTACAGGATGGATCATATGCACAAAAAAGAATATATATTTTATCGCATAATAATGATAAGGATATTTGATGCGCATACAACAACTACATTGGCAGAAATTTGACATTTGCCTTAATACCATTAGATTAATGTGTAATATTTTATAAATATTTATCTTTATTTGCCTCAGAAATTGAAAATTAATATTTAAATCATCATTAGTAAGCATGATAATACATTTTCACAATACTTTTTATTTTTGGTAAATTTTTTGATGTGATGTAATGAATGCGATTTTACACGGCCTAACATTAGCAAAACCAAATAATGCAATCCCACAACAAACTAACACTGAAAGAAGCTGCATACCAGTCAAACAGACTAATGCAGAGGCTCCTCAACAAAGAACTTCCTTTTGAGGAAGCAAAATCGTTTTTTCAAAATTTTTTACAAAACAAACTCGATTCAAAGCTACTTTCTTTACATTCACGAGCTTCTATAGGAGTATTATTCTCCCAGTGCCTTAGAGAATATGCTCCAATGATTCCATTGGCCAACCAAAGTAATTTAGACCAGATGATTTACATTATGGCCTCAGCTTTAGTTTGCCTTGGAGAACCAACATCAATAGACTACAACTCGGCCTTATCCATACTAGAAAACCTCTTACAAACAAATTCATTTTATTTATTTTCATCTGAAACAGCCATTTTCGCATTAGAGGTCCTCTCAGCCATTAAAACGCAAGAATCAATTACTTTCATGGTCCAATTACTCGAAAATGTCGAAATTCAGTACGATGATATTATTCTTATCGAAAGTTTCATCAATAAAGAGCCATTTCTCACTGCAATCAAGCTCTGTTCAAGGAAAGTACAGAATACAATCATCAATACCTCAAGATCCCTCAGTCCAAAATTATATAAATTTATTTCATCGAATTTGGGCATTGTTGAGGAGATCAATGATCTATATGATGAAAATCCAACAGTAAGGAAGAGCTTTATCAAGAAATCAGTCTCTTTCTTTGAAAATGAGAAATTATTTCCAATAATTGAAACAATTTTATCGAGACACATCGATAACAATGCAGAAGTAAGATTAATGGTACTAAGTATTGCGGAAATCGCAATAAAAAGAGATATAAAACCATTGCTTTCTTCATCATTTGATTCTTTATCAGAAAGAATCACAGATAATGACGAAAGAGTCAGAATGAAAACTTTGGAAATAATCTCTAAGTATCCAAATGTTCCTTTCATATTGATGAAGAAAGGTGCACAAAGAATTGCTGACAAAAACAATTCAATTCAATATTTGGCGGCAAAATTGACATCTAATTTGGTCATTTCACTTTTTGACAAAATGAATCAAACAAATGAAGAACAACCAAATGAAAACTTAAATGACAACGAAGAAATCATCGATGATGACGTGAGTTTTATCAATCTAAAAACAAGAAATTCATATGAAGAAAATGTCACTTTTTATACTAAAAAGAAAACTTCAACTAGAGAAAGAATTAACTCAAGAAAAGAAGAAGAAAATGTCACTTTTCTTTATCCAAAGAAATCTTCAAAGGAAGGAAAATTTGATTCTAGAAGTGACAACGAAAATGTCACTTTTTATAATCCAAAGAAAACTTCAACTAGAGAAAGAATTAACTCAAGAAATGATGAAGAAAATATTGTTATTCATTATGAAGATATTTTAAGAAATAATAAAGGGATTGACAAAGAAATTACATATTTTATGACTTTGTGGATTGACCATTCGAGTGAAAATCATTTGATACAAAACATGATGAATGAAATTCACTCAAAAACAGGTTTGAAGTTCATTGTTTCTCATTGTAATTCTTCTCCTCAAAAATTGTTTATTTCATTGTCAAATGTCACTTTACATGGCAAAGAAATTCTAACATGTGGAAATACAAAACTTGTGAAGTTGTTGATTCCAAAATACAGAAGTATTTTAGAGAAAACTGTCGAAGAAATGATTTCGCAGGATCTCATAACAAATGAACTTTTGACAGTTTTAAATTACATAAATATTTCTGATACAATGTCAAATTTCCTTTCAAAATTGTCAGAAGAAGGAATATTTGTCAAATCAATGGCAAAAGTCAAAAATATCAAATTTGACAAATTTAAATTGAATGATTTACTCAAATTTGCGGTTTTGACAAATAACGTACAAATTTGTGAGAAAATTCAATTTGATCCAAATCTGCCAATGTCAAAATGGAAAATAAGAAGTTTATTTTTGACAAATAAACTGAGAAATGTCAAACCAAAAAGTAACAAATTATTTATTGAGTCAGTTATCAAATCATTTGTTGATGATCAGTTTTATTTAGTTAATTGTTCTTTGTTGGATCCGAAATATTCCAACGAAGTTTTCTTTTCTGTTTGCAAGAAACCAAAATGTCCAACAACTGTTTTAATCTCTTATTCTTTGTTTGTTTCGACAGATGAAGGAAATGAGTTCATGAACTCTTTTTCTTCAGTAATTTCTCTAAGAAAGAGATTCGGTTATTTTGTGGATTTTGACAAATATTACCAAAATGAATTCATAAAAGGTGTCAATGTCAAAACCGCCAGAAATCTTTTCAAATAAAAACTTTACATTTTCTTTTATTTTATAAACACTTATATTTTTGAAATATTCGACTTTTTCTTGCAAAAAGAAAATGGATTTTTTACCATAGTAAAATTCAATAATACTATTAAATATCTACAGCTCCAAAATCATCGGATATTTCCTCTTTATAATTGCAATGCTTCAATTTTCTGTGGATTATAATTCCAACAACGGCAACAATGGCAATCAATGCAACAACACCAATTATACTACCAATAATTATTGGCGCTTGTTTTGATTTGGCGATTATATTTCCTTTTTCGCCCTCACTTGGTGCAATGGTTTTAGTTTCTGTTGGTTTTACATAGGGAGTTGCAGTAGGCATTACAATTGGAGTTGCAGTAGGCATTACAATTGGAGTTGGTTCAAGATCTTTTTCAAGAAAATGGAATTGACATAAATTAATTGATGTTGTTCCTGTACGCTCATCATGCTGAGTAATCTTGACATATCGAGCTCTAGTTACATGTGGGAAAAGAAGATAATATCCAGAGTTGTCATTAAAAAAATGTCAAGTTCTGGTGATAAACAAATAACTCGGTCCAAGATTCATTATCAAGAGAAGTATGAATTGTAAAATGCTTTGTTTTTCCTGCATTTCCTCTTGTTTGTGCCCACCTAATACCAACTAATTCTCTTGGAATTTCTGCATCAATTATCAAAACAGTTAGTTCTTTACTGCTTAATGGATCTGTGAATAAACATGTTGAATTATCATCATCCATCATTCCAGAGAGCGCTGAATTTTGCTGGTTTGAAATATGGACTGAAAAATTAAAGGTACTTCTGTGGAATTTTGAAGGAACTTTATAAACCAAGGGTTGTCTCATTTTCATATCTAAACCAAATCCTCTAAATTTAAAGACCTTTCCTGGCTCCCATTTATCAGCACTAATTATAATATCACTAGAATCCAAAAAACAAACAAAGTTCTCATCTTCATCGCGAATTTCAACACCTCCCATGTTACTCCAGCTTCCTCCACCTTCGAAATCTACAAGAAATCTTAATCTTCCATCATCTAAAATGTAAACCGCTAAAATCTTAGGAACTGCAGTGGAAGGAACTTCTTTTCTATCATAAAAGTGTCTTTCAACAATGTATTCAATAGAAACATTGCAAGGAGGTAAATCTTTGATATAGTTCTTACAGTTGCTGCCACATTGATAAAGTGCAGTTCTATCTAAATGAGGAGATAAATCATGACCAACGATCTTTGAAAATCCAACAACTATCCTTTCTCTCTTAGAAATGCCATCATAATTATTATCTCTTATGTGCCTGCAGAATTTTGGATAAGAATCTTCTCCTGCATAAATTTCCAATTGTCTGAGAATTGGTAAACCATACCAATTTGAATCTCCAAATAATTTTTTATAGTTCAAATAGTTAAAAACGTTAACAAATCTCCTATCTCCTTCCAAACGTGATCTAATGTTATATCTTCTTTGCATCATTAATGGGAAAAGATTATTTGTAAGTTCTGCTTCTTCAATTGGATGGAAATCATACACATGACCATTTTCATGCCACGCTCCCCAATTTTCACCAGACTCTCGGAAGAATCTCGCATCGCATACTCCTGATGAATAGTAATTACCATTATAAAATATGTAAGCTCCAGTTTTATAAGCATATGCACCTGTGTCACCTGATTTACTCAAAACTCGAGTTCCATGGAATTTCCGATGTTTAGGATTCTCATCATTTTCAGTATATCCTAAATATTGAAGATAAATTTCGTGAATATCATTCCATTGACTTAATGCATCATTTAGAGTTAGTCCTTTCTATTTTGCATGTCGAATTCCAGATAAACAACCACCAGCTGTTGTATGTATAATAAAGTTCTGTCCAGATATTTCTGCGACATTCATTAGTTTGCCTTCTACATTATCTAACATTGTATTACTTTGGTATTTTGGATCCTGAGTATATTTTTCTAATTTTTCTTCAAATTCAGTATAATTATCACCTAATTTAAAGCTCATCAATTCATGAGCACCACTGATTCTGCACTGAGGTAGAGGTAAATCGTTTTCATTAGAATAGCAGTTCCAAATTAAAGGGGAATATCGACCATCATTTTGATAAACACGTGTTATATTTCTCATTCCTTGAGAAATGTAAGCACCAAACATCAAATTGGTTCTATCATCTGAGTTCTTTGCAAAATTCTCTCTCCTGATAACATATATTTGCCAGATGGCTGATTTGTATTATGGTCAAAGTTGAAATATGCATTATGGGTTGGTCTGCATTCAATTGTCTGAACAGACTTTTTGACGCCTTCAGGATCATTACGAATTTCATTTATTGCATAAATGTATTCAGAGAATAGATATGGACATGGATGATTATTGACACTTGTTATAAACTCCTGAACCTTTTGAGGATCTTTATATTCATTTGAAAATTCAGACAAGGTGCCATCAGTAAACAGTTTTCTGGCTTCAGTGAGAACAGAATCTTCTCTCCAAAATTCAATTCTCGAGGCAGCAACTTTATTTTGACTGGCACTTGTTACTTCAATTCTGATCGATTTGTAGCATTGCTCAGAACCCAAATCTAGATCGGCTTGGTATGTAAATCTTTCTTCGTTAGTAAATTCTTTCAAAACATTTGAAAATTCTTCACTACATTTGGTTCCAACAATTTTAATATGTTTCCACCATCCAATATCACTATTAAATAGTTGATAAAGAATTCGCCTGAAGGTTAGGTTAGTGTTTGGTTTACTTGACGGCCTATAAAATCCAATGTAAATTTCTCTTGTTGTTCCACCTAAGGTTCCTCTAGATTCCCAAAATGTATCAGCTCTGCCATCTAAAGCGTTCTCAAATGGTTTAGCATTGCTATTTTCTGATGTTACATACATGTCGGTGTCTTTATTTTGATTTATTGTGATTGGCCTGTTGAAAAAACTTCTGTATCTTTCATCCCTCCCTCCAAAAATTTCAGGCCATGAATTTGCAGTCGATAATATCAATGAAAACATAATTTGTAAATAAAAATTCAATTGTTCATTGTTGAATAAAATATTTTTTCATTACTTATTAATAGATACTTGTTTCCTGTAAAAGACAATTCTTGTAAAAATAATTATTTGAAATTTTGAATTAGCCCATTGAAAGTTCTCAAATTATATGAGTGTGGGACAAACTATCCAGTGTCACTTTTTATTAACCTTATTTTAAAAAATTAATAAAATAATAATAAAAAATTATTTGAATCTTTTACATTAATTGTTTCTTTTTTAAAAGTACCTTTAAAGTACAATAAACAAGATTTGAATCTATTGATCCTTGTTGCAAACTTGAATATATTGCTTCAAGCATTTTCAAACATTCGACTTTTTTGTTTTCCAATATTTGTTCATGGTCATTAGCTTTTCGTAATATACGAACAACTTTATCACTATTGATTAATTGAACTTTAAATTTAATCAATAATGCTGGAACAACCGTTGTGTATAATTCAACAACAAAATCGTCTAATCGAATATTCCTTCTCTCTGGGAAATAAGAATGCTTGAGAACTTTGAAATGTGACTCACTGACGTTATTAGTCGCGTCACCTCCGTTGCGATAGCGCTTATTCCAACGATCTAAATGATGCCTCCATTGCCTATCGAAGTACTTTTGGGCTTTCGGTTCAGTGGAAAGAATTTCAAGAATTCGATCATAAACTGCATCTAGGTCTGCAGCTTCTTCTTGAGTGAGGTGCTCTGGAACTTCTTCACTTGTTTCAAACGTTTCTTCTTCTGGAATAAATTCAGAATTGTTTGGATCATCAGAAGATTCTCGTGGTAAAAAGATTTGAGAAGGTTGAAATTCATTTTCGATGAATTCTTCTTCATATTGTTCCTCTTCTTCAATTTCTTCTGCTTGAAGTAAGTGAGATTGAGCTGGTTCCTCTCTAGGATTTTCTTCTTCTTGGTTCTGTTCTTCCTCGGGAGATTCTTCTTTAGTATCGAATACTAATAATTTCATTAGATTATAAAATTCTTCAAAATTGTCTCGTGATTTAAACTTATCCGCTTTTCTTAATATGGCGCGAAGGACATGCACGCCACACCAAAGAATATGACAGTTTGGAATACCTCGCTCAATTGCCTCGGCTATTTGTGGGGCGCAGTCCATACTTATCATCTCGGGTTCTCTATTAATATATTGAAAATAACGACAAACACAATATTGAATATTTTCGCTTGTGTCAGGAGAAATAAAGAAATACAAAAAAGGAAAAACAATAGTATGTTCTGTTTTTCTGTGAGTGCATATAATGGAATGTTAGCCCTTAGAAGTTTATACGTTGAATCGATGTGAAACGTAGAAATTTGGTGACCAAGGGCCTTCGCTTCGAAAGGTGCATATAAAAAAACTAGTTTTCCCGGCTCAGAGATAAATTCAATTAAATCTTCTGGACAACTTTCTTGAACAGATTCGACAAAGATAGCTAAAGAAACTTTTTCATCCGAACTAAAGCGTTTGGAAACAATTTCAGCTCTTTGAGCAAATTTACGTAATGCATCTGGACCTTGTGCAAATATTGAAAGTAACTCTTCGTCTGTATATGAAATATTTAAGTCTTGGAAACACTTAAGTTGAGCTGTAGCATGATTCATATTGTTTTCAAAGTAATGTTTAAGATAATTTCTGACAAATAATGAGGATATTGTTTTTGTTGATTTCGGAGGTGCAGAATGATCATGAGAGTCAGAGTGGATTAGTAGTTCATATTTATCTTGATCTATTATCCGGACTTTGAATTTAGCTTGACATTGTGGATACTTACATTTGTATTCGATCGTGGAGTATTCTTTCCTGCATTTTTGAGAGTAGCCCATGCTAGCTTTTATCTCTTCTTGGATACCAAACTGGAGGAGCTCCATAGTGTTGAATATCACGGGCTCCATACAACAAATTGAATAAGGTATTTCAAAATTTGAAGGAAATGGTCCATCATTGAATGTAGTGGCCGGGAATTGAATGACATACAGATAGTTTGAGGAAATTTGTTATAAATTATAATATAATTGAAGAATTAATTATCAAAACAAGTCTAAGAGCCATTTGTCAGATTTTCCCGAAATGCAAGGTTAAGATTTTAGCAGCGACTAACTTTGAGTGTACATATATAATTGTTATACTGAGTACTTTCTATCTGTGTTACTTATTTGAGTCTAAGAGCCATTTGTCAGATTTTCCCGAAATGCAAGGTTAAGATTTTAGCAGCGACTAACTTTGAGTGTACATATATAATTGTTATACTGAGTACTTTCTATCTGTGTTACTTATTTGAGTCTAAGAGCCATTTGTCAGATTTTCCCGAAATGCAAGGTTAAGATTTTAGCAGCGACTAACTTTGAGTGTACATATATAATTGTTATACTGAGTACTTTCTATCTGTGTTACTTATTTGAGTCTAAGAGCCATTTGTCAGATTTTCCCGAAATGCAAGGTTAAGATTTTAGCAGCGACTAACTTTGAGTGTACATATATAATTGTTATACTGAGTACTTTCTATCTGTGTTACTTATTTGAGTCTAAGAGTCATTTCTACCATAGAACTAGATATTGTCTCTCATTAAATATATATAACTGTAAACTGCTTAATTCATTTATCTATTTAGATAAAAAAAAAAAAAAAAAAAAAAAAAAAGGTAGTGGGGCTTCCAGGGCTGCGCCCCTCTAGCCCCTGAAGATGTTTAGTATAAATGAAGTTCTTATATACGGGTCTTCCAGGAGCTTTTCACAAATTATATATGTTTTCATGTTTTGTCAAGACTTCTTCGTAAAATCAGACAAAAATAATGTTTAGGGTAGAAGGTTAGATATAACCTCTTTTCTAACCTCTTTTCTACCCTCTTGAATTTTCAAGACTTCTTCGTACATGTTTTGTCACTTTTCTGTCACTTTTCAGGTAAAAACATTTTTATTATATATATAAAATGAATTTTACAAAACCACCGTTACCCTTCTTTGGAAATAAGAGTAGATGTAAAGATATTCTATTGAGAGAACTTAAGAAACTACCGAATGGTCTAACATTTGTAGATTTGTTCGGTGGAAGTTTCTATATATCTCATTTGTGCCATACAATATTTCCTGACTCAAAGATTATATGCAATGACTTCGACAACTATATGAACCGTCTCAAACATATTCCAGACACAAACAATATATTGAAAGAGTTGAAAGAAAAGATACCTATAGGTAAGATGGAACGTATACCATTAGATAAGAAAAATACTGTCAGAGAGGTTTTGAAAAAAGCAGAGTATATTGACTGGGATAGTATATCTTCTAGACTATTGTATAGTGGTTCTATAAGAGTTCATGACATTGAAACACTTATGTCAAAAGTTTTATATCTTAACTATACAAAGGTTTTCAAAGAGAACATAGAAAAATATACTGAGGGTATAGAGTTTGTGAGATGTCATTGGACAGAGTTGTATGAAAAATATAAAGACAAGGAAAATGTTTTCTTTATAGTGGACCCGCCGTTCTATAACACATGCGATTTTCAATACCAAGTAGACTGGACTTTGAGAGACTCTTTAGAAACTTTAGACGTTTTACATAACTGTCCATGCTTTTACTTTACATCCGATAAAAGTGGTTTGGAAACCGTTATGAGATGGTTAGAGGACATACATGACTATGAGTTTAGATATGACAAGATAGAATATGAGAGAGGTCCTATAAACCGGAGAAAGTGTCATAACAAAGAAATTTTACTAGTAAGTAAATGTGGTTTGAAATAGGACTACTTGTTTTAGGTTTTTTCCATTGTGTCATTTACTTATTTGACGTGGCAGAAAGATATAGAGAATATGAAGATGAACCAATGCCTGCAAATGTTCAGCATATGTACTCGTAAGAGATATTTTTATCTAATATTAAATGGACGCACAGAACTTAGCGAATGCACAGCAACCTGGACAACCAAACCCAGAGAATATTCCAAATGAAGTTAGAATACAAACTGCAATGGCAAACTATGGTCAAGTGCCAACAGATGTACAAATGCAAACTGCCATGTCAAATGACGCTGCGTTAGGCTTACCACCATGGTATGCAAATATGAGATGGAAAGAGTTTTATACAAACCCGAAGTGGGATATAAACAACTCTATGCAGATGACGCGAACACAGGAGTTGACCCAGAGTATGTTTTCTACCAGAGGAGAAATAGAATGTATGAGCTCCAGTTAAAGAATGCTATGGAACTCAGAAGGAAACGTAAGAGACTAGGTGGACATTAGATTTTTACATATAGTAAAATGGGTTTCTTTGGAAGAATAGGAAACTTCTTTCGAAATGTTGGAAGAGGTATATGGAATGGAATAAAATCTGTCGGAAGAGGAGTATGGAACGGAGTCAAAAATATTGGCAAAAGAGTAGGTCAGTTCGTTGGTATTATACCTAAAGACCCTGAACCAGAAGAACAAGCTCCTGTTATACAACAGCCTGAACCTGCACCACAGTCTAGTTGGCAACCAAATCCAACACCTCAACCGTATTAAAAAATTATATTTTACCGTTCGATAGTAGTTGTATATGAAACTAAGTTCTAAGTAAAACGCATGGTATAATGGAACTATTCTCTTTCTTCCATCTGTTGTAAACCATACTTGAAAGTCTGAAATACTTCCACTCGGCGGTTCATATAGCTTTGTAGGTTTTTCGTAAAAGTCATTTGCCAAGCATAAAAAAGAGTTTTGCGCACCAGAAAATGAAGCATGAACTATAATAGCATCTGAGTCGAAAACATTTTCATATGTTCCATTAGGGTTTTCGACTTCATAAAAGTTCGGGTGTACTGGATATTCTGCAGGCTGATTTAACATCCTCAAAAATCTATACCATGCCAAGTTGTTATATTTTGTAGAAATATAAACGTTTCTCCAAGGTCTTCTATTTTATTGATTTTAACAGTTGCATTTTTCCTGTCATATATAATATCGAGATGGTATTCTCCTTCGTCAATGTTATACTGGTTTGCATATTCGAGATAGATATCGTTTATTTTTTCTTGAAAAGCTTGAAGAGTTGTTTCTAAGTTTACAAGCAAATTCACTTGTAAAAGTTTTCCCTGTTCAAATTTCTCATACGTACGTTTTCTTTGTTATAGTATCGAACTTCAAAACCGACCGTAAATGGGAAACCATGTATGGCTTCTGAAATGAACTTCATTCTACGAAAGCCAATAGCTTTTGTGACGGATGGGTCTCTTAGCCATCTTAGGGGTAGTCAAAACGATAGCCTTCATGCTTTACGGTCTCTGTCTCAAACTTTTGACCGACATTAGTAAAAAGTTCATCTAATGGTTTAGTTGTAGCAACTCTTGAATTTTCTTTTTCTATTGAAAGCATATTTTATCTAGAATAAAAATGTCGAAAGAAACAGCGTCTATGAGAGAAATACAACACAACCGACACTCATTATACAAGCTCTAAATAAGAACACAACAAACTTTTCAAACTATTCTAAGATATCTGAGTCATTGAAAGAAGGAAACTTAAAACTGACAATGAACCCAATGACAGATGAGTTTCTGTTTCAAGACAATAGGAACCATACTGTCTGTATAAATCCAACAAAAGGACTTTTAAACGAGAAACCTATAAAAGAACTTCTTTTGAAAGCAGATGTTGACAACAAAGCTGACAAAGAGTATGTCATTGAAAAAGTTCAAGAAGAACATGACAGAGCAGATGCAACATATGCAACAAAAGCAGATGTTGACAACAAAGCTGACAAAGAGTATGTCATTGAAAAAGTTCAAGAAGAACATGACAGAGCAGATGCAACATATGCAACAAAAGAACATACTCATCCTGAACTAGCAGACAAAACATATGTTGACAATAAAATGTCAAGTGAAGTGACAAGAGCTGAAAACG